ATAAATGAATGACACCCTGTACCTGTAGGGGCCAGCCGGCCAGGTTCCACGTGCCACGTGAAGCTGCTACATGTTACGTGCTAACCGCCGCCTTGGTAAATGAAATGATCAAATGGTTTAAGTGTGGGAGAGCCATGATTCGGCACGAATGAGCCGGCTCGACCGGAGTGATACCACGTCCTCATAGAAAACCGACTTGAGGCAACGCTTGCGTTGTGTTTCGTCGTGTGAGTGAGGGTACCGGAGGCCCAATTACCCTCCCCTCCCCCAATCTCCCCAATTCCTGAATCTCCAACAATCTTCAAATTCCTAATCCCCAAAAGGCCGGTAACGCCTCTGATGTTCTAGGTGTCCATGGGCGACGCCGATCGCTTACCATCAGGTGATACGTGGGCTCGTTTATCGGCTTATGCAAAAAAAAAATGGAAGTTATTTCTGCAAATAGGCTACAAAGTAACACTTACGCGTCAATCTTAAGAATTATGATTATGAACCACTCACTCCTATAGGCTGAATCTGAGAGACTATCACTGGGTAAACAGGATTTGTCTGGGAGGTTCACTAGCCACCACAATGGTCACTGAGTCGCAACCTCGCACTAGAGGTCCACTGTCTAGTAGTAAGTGTTGTCTTACTCAGAGAATATTTTATAATCTCTATGACAAAAATAAGGTGGTTTCTACTTAATTACTGGGTGGACCGGTTACTTCTCCAAGAGATCAAGGACATTATCTATTTTATTTTTGTAATTTGTTTTTTATTTTGCGAATAATATGGTCTAAAGGTAGTCTTTGGCTGGACACGGTCAATCTACGAATTGTATACTGTGCTAGCGTGGAAATCGACTTTAAGACGAACAGAAAATGTCCCAATGTCCCGTAATATATTGAAAGAAAATTCAATAAACACGTACGAGTGTCTCTATAATAGTGAACCATGTATGTTGTTCATTTCAAGATTGTGTTTGTGTGCACTGTGTACGTTAGGTACCTACTACAGCGGAGGAGAGAAGACGTCTCTACAGATACACGTAGAACATACAACCTCCTGAAGGGTGAAGTTATCTAATGTCCTTACAACACTGTGCATGTACTCGCGGAGGAACACTCTCAATGCAATATTTGTACGCCTCTGGGCAAAACATGGAGAATCTACCTACCTGTAACACCTCACATACCTATGTTTACAAATAAAAATATTTTGATTCTGATTCTGCATAGGTTCATAGTCAGGGCCGTAATAGGCAAAGTAGGCAAGTGCCTAGGGAGCCAGATTATAGAGTGGAGTCGCGAGACGCGTGTGTCCAACGGCCCATACATTGGTGGCGACCCCAAAAAAATTAGAGGTGCTTACACTGAAAAAAGTTTTGAGTAACAAATAACAAACAATTGAGTAACCTGTTACATAAAAATAGTGACTACATAACTATAGTTCTTATTAGACAAATTCAGTTTTGTTATTAGAGATCTGTTATTAGTAGCTCGACAAAAATGATAACTTCTTAACAAATTTATTATTCACGTTGTACCAAAGTGTTCTAGAATAAATAACTAAATATGTGTATTATAAAACCAAGTGTTATGTAAAAATAGCCACGTTTTATTGTTAGCGCGTACAAATCCGTTTGGTTAAAACTTGGTCATGGGTTTGGTATAATTCAGTTATTAGTTACATCATTATAATATTATTATAACCAAAGTATTTTGTTATTTGTAACTGAACTTTTCGGTTAAAAGTAACATAACTTTTTAGTTAGAGTGACTGCTCCGATCAGCCCGCGAAATTCAAATTTTCTTACATTTTTTTGCAATTTGCAGGCCAGTGCTAGATTGTATGTAGATTAAAATATTGTTCGCGATTGTAAGACGTATGTAGTTACAGAACTAATAATCATCAAAAGCATCAGTACAATCCTCCAAGTTCTAAAAGGTCTAGCAAAAAAGATTTTTTCAAGGTCAAAGTCATTGCTACATACAACCTAGCACTGGCCAGCAAATTGCAAAAAAATGTAAGAAAATTTGAATTTCGCGGGCTACCCTGTAGCATCAGCCTGAAGTGTTTTTTTTTTCTTGTAGATTTTCATTTACCTACCTATAAGAAGTTTTAGCAAGATATATCCTTCCCCAAATCTCACCTGCTATGGTATTCATTTCGGTTACAAACTTGAGATAGAATAAGAAAAACAACTTTGTTTTTACAATTATATTTATTTATTAAGTATCAAATCAATTAATTTTAGTAGGAACTTATAATTAATTCAGACAAAGAGCTAGCACACTATACTAGCCAAACCTAGCTACATACACTAAAATAGTATTTAAAATTCGATCATTTCCACTAGTTTCATTGAAGTTAAAAAATGAAACTAATGCAAACTACTTTTTTCATTCCATTGTAGTTAATTTTTGCTAAATGCTGTAAACATCTATACATACATCCTCACAAACTTTCTATTTCTATTTTCTAGTAGGAAGCATTTACCAAAAAATAACTACAATGGAAATAGTGGAAATAAATAGTTGCACTAGTTCAATGCAATGATAAACACTGAAATTTTGTCTTTCATGATTCAAAGAAAAATGTGTCATTAGGTTCGGTACACTTGTCAGGTCTTTCAAACATAGGAAACACTTGGGCATTTTAGTTTGTATGCTTATATGCGATTTATGTGATCAATGCTTGTTCTTTATGTTTTAATGCCGAGATCCGATATAAGTGTATTTACTGCAGTAAAGCTTTTATCATATTTCGTTTTTAACTCAAAAAGTACAGTTTGTACAAACTGCCAGACATGACGGGACTCTTTAGGATATTCAGCATTCAATACAAAAATCGCCTTTAAAAAAACTTCTACAGCTTTTGTAATAGTTGGCATTTCATATGTTATGTTATTAATCACTATGTACCTTGCTGTAATTGATTTATTCGGTGACACAACTGCAATTACAAAAGGTTGCATTTGAAGGTCCATTTCCATAAGCTTGTCTCTTTTTCTTGTTATCTCTACTGCTACCTCAGCTGGACTTGCGACTTGAGTTATGAAGCCTTCCAATACCTCTCGCTTTGATGGTCTCCAGTGTGTCTTTTTAGTTGCTTTCTTTGTAGAAGTAACATTTGATGTGCTCATCAAAAAAGGTAGCGATGTTAGAGCGGCTAAATCAGTTTGTTCTTCATTGGACTCTGTAATAAATAAGAAAAAATAAATAACCCTATTTCTAGCGCTGTCAGATAATTAAATAACCCTTTAGGTATCTCCATCAAAGGAAGAAATCATCAACATTGTTCTATAATTGTGTCTATAATGACGGTACGAGTTAAATGACTAATTAAGTATTAATTATTGTTATTATTACTTACAGTGTTCTCAAAAGCATTTGACATTATATTGGTCAAAAGTTTGATTTGTGTCGTCAGCTTAGCCTGGTGTCCAATAATTGGCACTAAGTCTTTCAGGTCAGCCTCTGATAACATTTGGAGAGTCTCCACATCAATGGATTCTTCTGAAATAATATGGATAAGTTTAGTCTTTTTATCTCCGCACTAAGTCAGTTAGTCAGCTTGTTTACTAGTACCACAGGACTTTTCTTAATAAAAATAAGAGTTGGTTGGGAGAGGACAGGCCCTAGGTTATGTAGGTGCGGGGGTCAGTGGTTCATCTTTGGGTGTGGTAGGTATGCAGTTAATAATATCATACACTAGGAAAGCAAAAGATCTGCATAAATAGTCAAACAATAGCTCATAACACTCCATTGCTGAACATATATGCGTTCTCCAATACTGCAGAGTACATAATCTCCATGTATGGAAGAAAACGCTGCTACCCGTTTCCTCAAGTGAAAAACACTCACCCAAAAATTTTGGAATGTAGGCTTCCAATCCCCAAGACCGCAGATAGTCCGAGATCGTTTTCTCTGCCGCCTCGTCTACCGGCGGCGGCTCCATTCTTGAAATCTTCTTGACGTTGCTTGATGATATATGATACATGCATAAAATCGAAAACGCGGCTTTCCCGCTCGCCATAGACGATGCACATTGCACAATAGACACACATCCACTACCTAGTACCTACACTCTACTCGCAACGCAACACGAGAAGAACAGGTTTCTACAGGTTACTTCCGTGACCGTTAGTGTTTGATGTAACCAAAACGTTTTGTTATGCCCAGCATAACTTTATTCACCACCTATTATATTGCTGTATTATTGATAACCAAAAATATTCTAAAACCAACATAATCAATATTAGTTGATCTCAGCCAAATTTTTTGTTTATTTTTAGTAACTTTGCAAAACAAATCTCAACAATACTATTTAGCTGGTAACAAACTAATATAGCAGACTTGAAAAACAGCAACTATTCGTTAAAAAAATAGTTTTAGTTGGGTCAACAATAAAGTCACAAGTGTGTAGAGTATAGCCAAACATATTATGTTGCAAAGTGCCGAAACCGAATTTTGTATTGGATAACATAAAATTTTGTAGCTTATAACCAACTCAAATAACAAAAATATTTTTGTAAAATGCAACAGAAGCAGTTGATCAATACGTAAATGAAATTCGTTTGTCTTTTATCAAGGTTTGGTTATTTGTGAATTAACTCAACTAGTTTTGTAAAATACTTTTTTCAGTGTATGCTTACTTAGGAAGTTAGGACTGTCCAGGTTTAATCCACCTCTGTTCATAGTCATACATACATAATAATGTACATTATTAATGTTGTAGGAACTCCATGTTATTGGGACCTACCCTATTACTCTAACACACGCACAGTGCCTACCTTAGAAGGCTAACAAGAATTTCAGAATATATAATTAATATTGAGATAGTCTCAGCTCCTGGCGAATTAATTTAGCAATGAGTCACATATCGTCTTTTAAGCAGGCGCCCACTGCGACGACTGTGTCTGTGTGAACATATTTTCATACACTACTAACGAACTCTCGAGTAGGTACAGATCCTTTGGGAATATCCTCCTCCATTCTACAAAGTAAACTATTTCCAATGGTAAATATATATTTTTAATTCGGTCCTAATGTTTAGAATCCAATTTAATGCATACAAACATATGTACAATGAAATCTTAGTATACGTAACGGTGAGAAACAAATGAAACGATAAGTTTTAATTATTTACTATATTTTCTTAGTTATCTATAATTATAATTAAGTAGGTATTAACTCAATGTTTTTACAAAACAAGTAAGTAGGTAATGTAGGCACAACCACAGTCTCACTATCGGTTGCATTAATTACCAAAATTCTTTTAAAATTCCAGCCGTTTCACAGCTTTGGTTTACAATATCGAATGATTCTGCAATTATATATAATACATGTTATATGCTCGTGTAACACAGACCATGCCTGGTGACAAACATATTATTATACATACAACAGTATTGTAACAACTAATATTATGTTCTGTCTTTTCAATTACTTATATTAATATATAGGTGCTATCTGCGCCCTAAGGCAAACTAGGCAAGTGCCCGGCGCCACGTCACGAGGGGGCGCCACGTGCCGCGCGTGCCCAGGGAGGGATGGCGGGGCTAAAAAAATTAAGGCAACTATGAAGAGCCTGCCTAGAGCGCTGTCTAGGTTTAATTCGCCTCTGGGTGCTATAGTATCTAACACGTACCCTTACTGTTTCTTATATATAAGGTGTGGCAGACAATAATTTGTTAATCACTATTAATTTGTCTTTATATTTATAGGTAGTACTTACTATACACCTATCTACATGTTACATCATCGTTTCTACACATTTGTGTTTTTAAAACACAATTTGTAGATAATCATATTACTTACAATATTTAACTTATCCACTAATAAAGGTATTTGTGTTTTCTACAAATAATATTATTTTGAAATAACCAAAACAATAAATGAAATGGGATGGTTCAGAAATGTAAAACTTATTGCCTAGGAATACCAATATAATCGAAGCGCAGTCTGCAACACTGCGTGCGCAGTAAGACTACGAATGTAACCTCTAGAACGAGGTCGAGTACATATCTACAGTACAACGCAGTCTACGACAGCAGAGAGCTAGTCGAAATTACATCTCAAGTGCAACTTGTAGACAGAACACAGCCGCGCCGGGCGCCGGGCGCCGTGTCACACGGAGTCGTCGACCGGAGTGGCGCGCGCCGAGGACTCGTCCTGGGAGGACGCGTCCAGGTCCGCGAAGGAGTCCGGCAGGCGGCGGTGCAGCGTGTCCGGCACCAGCCGCGTCAGCGCCGCGCTCGCCAGCGGCAGCGACCCGAACAACAGCGTGGGCAGCCACCACCGGTACACCGCCTGCACACAATACGTACTCATGCCAATTGCCAATCAATATCACCCAGAACAGCGATTGGACGAATGGGATAGGTGGCGATAGGAACACTGGTAGAAACAGCTACGGAGAATAGATATAGAATCTTTTGGCGTAGTGGTGGAAGTAAAGAGGAGTAGAGGGAATATAATACCGCTACTGAGGGGGTATAATTAGCAGCAACTGGCGAGGATTAGAAAGAATAGAAGACGTAGCAGAGAAAAATCGACATATAATGTGAGAAATAACATGAAGAGTTGTAATTTAAAGAATGAGTGGAGGTAACGTATGGAGAACTGGTAGAAACTGCGAGTACCGACCAGCAGTGGAGTGAGCGGCGCGAGGATGGCGCCGACGCGACCGAACGTGGAGCAGGCGGCCAGCAGGCGCTGGCGCGCGCGCGTCGGGAACAGCTCCGCCGTGTACACGTACAGCGCGTTCAGCGTCATCGTGGCGCCCATCTTGCCCACCAGGTACAGCGCCGTGCCCCAGCCGCCACTCCCTGTAACACCACATCCCACCACTGCACTTACATTCGTATACCACATTACATCACGTTACAGCTTAATGATATATGTTTAGCGCAGCGACACTTTGGTCACATCTTCATCTTTTCACGCCCACTTAAATCATTGCACCGTGTTGATAGGTACTGAATGTGATTGTGATATTAACGTTTGCAAAGTAGAATTATTCCAGGAGCACACAATAATAAATTCCTCACAAGAGATGATATTAATCATTAAAGGAGATGTGAGACGATGCGTGCACAGTGCACCGGTGTCGGCGCCGCGAGGTCAAAGGCTCAGTATCATCCGGCAGCGACCGCCACGCGCGGGGCTAGTGATAACACCGCGGCCGGCTCACTGTCTGCGGCTTATCTCGCAGTCGGCCGGGCGGCACCGGGCCGTCACTCGCGGTGAACTTGAACAAACTTCTACTCGTACATAGAGCAAGTGCACAGCCATATTTGTAAACATTCAGAGCACAGAACATAAACATTAGACATGAGGAAACGAACATAATATAATAGCTAAGTAATGATTGCGTAATGTTTCAATAACAATGAAGCACGTGAATATATTGTGTAATGTCCTAATTCGTACATTGTACAACAACATAATCCGCGAAACCTAAGCCCCTGGCGTACCTCGCAACCAATTTACTTGAATTATCTCATAGTGATGTTCCCGAGTATGTAATAATACGTGAAGTTATCGCGATAACGTTAACATGCCATCAATATCTAAACATGTATTTATCAGTAATATGTATCTATACCGTCACGTGCACTAGACTCTTTAAGGTACAGGGTGCGACGTTACCTCATTTAAAAGAGCGGGTCCTCTGACCAGGCTGTGTGATGTGTGATCACGCCTGGCGAACCTTCTCACGACAGTTATAAGTAGGCGTAAGGTAAGGCAATGTTCGGCACTGTACCTTCCGGCAGGCAGGGAATGGTAATGAGCGCGGCGGCAGTGAGCAGCAGCGCGGCGGTGAGCAGCGGGCGGCGGCCGGCGCGGTCCAGCAGCAACGTGTTCAGCACCAGCGCCGGCAGCTCGGCCGCCGCCACCAGCGCGTACGTGGCGTGCACGCCGCCCGCGCCGCGCAGCCCGTGCGCCGACACCGCCAGCCCGTAGAACACGAACACCGCCGACATCCACCACACGCAGCACACGCCCAGCCGCCGCCGCAGCGCGCCGTACCTGCGCACGGCGACGTCAACCAACCGGCTCTCCGGCCATTGCAGCTATCTATCTATTTAGTGTATCATGTCGTCCATGTGCGTACGACATGCGCCATTACCAGTAATTAACTATTGAACTAATTATGTTCGTGATAATCATCACTGTTAACATAATGTTTTATTTATAGAAATACCTCACTAATAAGATATTCGCAATAAATAATTGCGCATTAAACTTTACCACATCATAACAAAACAGAAATACCCAGACATCTAAGTTGTTTGTAAATAATATTATACCTATGCACTATGTACTACTATGAACTACGTATAATATAAGTAATATATACATCTTACAAGGTCTTACATAACCTTACACTGGGCACTTGTGTATATGTACAGTTAAGTAGATAGCTCATTCCATGTACGGCACTCACTTGAGCAGCGCTGTGAACAGGCCCTCATCAATGTTGGTCTCTGCGCTGCCGCCGATCTGCTCCCGTTCCAGCAGCATCTTCTCCAGTGCCTCGGCAGGGACACGCGCTCCGTTGTACTCCGCGGCTCTCTTGATGACGTGCGCAGCGTCGTGCATGCGGCCGCGCGAGACCAGCCAGCGCACGCTCTCCGGCAGCAGCCACGGGTACAGCAGCAGCAGCAGCGAGGGCGGGTAGGCCAGCCGCGCCCATGTGCGCCAGTACCCCGCCAGGTAGTCCACCAGCGCCAGCGCCGCCGCGCCCAGCGACAGCGGCACGCCCAGCACCAGGCTGGCCAGGATGCGGTGCTCCACGCCCAGCCACTCGATCACTGCACGCACACACTCGCGTCACTCTCTGCGTCCACGCTCGCCACTAGTCCAACAGTATAATATACTAACTGAGCACGAAAGCGGAGGGGTAGACACTGGCGCCCAGCACCGTCTCCAGCAGCTCGCCCAGCAGGTAGGTGTAGTACGAGGTGGCGAAGGACTTGGCCAGGCCCAGCAGTCCCGCCCCGCACCCGCTCACCACCAGCGCCGTGCGCCGGCCCCATCTGCAATCAGCGACCTACTCACTTTCTGGTCGCTACCTGGCTTCCAACTCTACCTGCATTACGTATCGTAACGTTACTACACATACTACTGCACCTCAGGCTCCGTACTGACTAACTTACATTAATAATACATAGCACACTTACATTATTGTGTTCTATACATAATTATGTAGGCACACACTAAGGAGGATGTTCCCGGCTCCGGGACCGAGTCTCTTATCATCTCATAGTGGAAGATATTTCAAGGTCAGAACCCATAGTACATGTGCCCACATAATATTAGACACATGGCACAAACAAGATAATATGGCGCGAGGAATGCCATCACGAGCTCTTGAATGTTATTTACATAACTTAATCATATCCCGTGCTTGCTTGCTCAGAACCTCTTCCGCACGAGATAAACAACTTTAATAGTACACACATTCGATTCATTTTTGATCGACCAATAGTACGGGTAGTGGTTAAAAATATAAGCATCGACACTGAAATAGACCAATGAACGAGTCGCACCGCGTACTACTAGCCCTCCTCACGAGACATACGAGTACTATAGTTCAAGCAAATATTTAAACGTCTCATTGTACACGAATGATTTAACATCCATTTATGTAGATCTGTCTAGTCTCCCGAATCCCCGAATCCTCCACAGTCCTCAAAATTCCAATTCCTAAAAGGCCGGTAACGCACTTGTAACGCCTTGGTCTTTGGGTGTCCATGGGGGCGGCGCCGATTGCTTACCATCAGGTGACCCATCTGCTCGTTTACCGGTTTATGCTATAAAAAAAATCTAGCATCTAGGTTAATGAGCTTCTTGTCGTCGTTACCTGTCGGAGACGAAACCCATGATGGGCAGCGATATGAGCATGCCAATGTTATGCACGGTGCCCACCAGGGAGCGCTTCCACTCCTGGCAGCCGAGGTCGAACTGGAAACAAAATGAGCAACAAGATGAGAAAGTGATCGTCGCGGGTAACTTGTTTGTGGGATAGTCGTAGGGTCAACGAATTGCTTGTAGGCAGCGGACCATCTGTCGGTCATGTGACACATTCTAATCATGGGCCCGACGGACGGAGTGAGTCATCGTCACGTGGTGTGCGCCACTTGCCCAAACCTGTTTCTTCCACAACCAACACAAATGCTCAAAACTGCAAAAAACATAATCCTATGAGAAGTACAACCTCCCATGAACCGCAGCCGATACTTGAAGTACGTACGTACAACAAGCACACAGGTACAAGTTGCCGGCTGTTTAGCGGTGCAAATGCAGAAATAATTTCCAACCTGTTCTAAGAGACATAAATAGACAGCCTCCAAGTGTGACCACTTCCCATACTAAGTTGTTGCAGCGGTTGCTGGTGTACCTATGTACCGATGTGTCAACCCGTTTTATGTTTATCACCCAAATAGGTGTGCGCACACTGTAGGGCTTGCGCACGATGTATTTCTCAAGCGCTCTCTTTTAACAAGTCTCTGTTTTTAACAGGGAGATTATGTTATGTATTTCATTATTGATATCGTTCTAAATCGTTAAACCATGACGGGCTTTAAGCACCACACTGACACAGGCATGAAGATACAGGGCTCTGTATGTACCTCAGACACGATACTGCTGCCGTGCTGGTAGACGTAGGAGTCGCAGGCGACGGCGCTGGTGTTGTCGAAGACGTGCGGCGCGCATGCGTGGTGGCTGGGCTGCCAGCGCTCGCAGCGCGCGTCCGCCGGCAGCGCCCACTGCGACCACTCGGCGGCCGCCCACTGCTCCGAGCTCGCCACCCCCATGGACGTGTTGCCCTCGCACTCCGGCACGTGGCATCTGGGACAACCATCACAAGTCACCACGTCAGATAACTTCAAGCAGCTCTCACTGAATTGTGTGCAATGTGATTAACGCTATAAAAAGCTAACACTAGTAAATGTAACACATGTGCTGGCCCCAGTGATTGCGGCCCGTACATTTGAAGGCATTTTCTCATAAATTCACGTACTTTACACATTCTTAGCGCACTATAATCGCGCCGCAAACAGCGCCACTAGCTTTGCATATTTATAACTAGCTTATAAGTATTCCGAGCATGTCTTACAAAACTACTAAAAGCGCCTACCGGTGTGTCTATACATAGGACCGGCACTCCTTAAAGCAAGGTGCCCAATCCATGCTGCGCGTGGTAAACTGCCAACTTCGAGTACAAATCCTTACTTAATATAAATCGGAAAGTGAGTTTGTTTGTTTGTTCCGCTTTCACGCCGTAACTACTAAACCGACTGCTTTGAATTTTTGCAGATGTATAGTTAGTAGTCTGGATTAAATAATAGGGTACTTTTTATCCCGGGAAAATTTGATATTCCCGAGGGAAAACAAAAGTATTGGTATAGATGGCGCTGTGTGTATTGGTATATGTCACATTGGCTTTTTATCCTCTTGTGACGCGAGCGAAGCCGCGGGTAAAAGGTAGTTAAAATTAAAGGAAAAGTCTTTTAGCTGTGTGTAATCCAATGTATTGGTGTAATTTTGGACTAGTACATCTGACCATCTGTTACTTCAAATACCTACTTCCTTACCCAACCGCACCACGTCGCTACCTGTCAATGTCAGTGCGAATAGAAAAATTAATCTCTCAGATTAATATTTGACTGGATAGAAATTAGTCGTAAGCTTGTGCGAGTCCATTGTGTTCTATTCTGCTAGTGTAGATAACATTTAGAGAGCAAGTACCTAGTCAGTACAGAGCACGTCATGACCTACTGGGATCATGTGCCAAGCACCTGCGTCTCCTAGACTAGTTGACTACATACTTGTGTTTAAAGAAACCATTACAGTTTGTTGACTGAACTGCTGTGTGTATGTATGACATGTATATAGTTACGTACATAGAGATAGTAACGGGTAGATGTACAACCCAGTAGCAGGTAGCGGCCTGCCGCGCTGTCATGTGGAGAGACAACACACCACTCACTAAATGTAACAACTTTCATTATTGATGGAAAGATATAACCGAAAATTATCCAAATTACGAACATATCCGTCGCGAGTCATAAAGAAAAGCTAGTCTACGAGGAGTTTATTTCAATAGAAATAAGAAACTAAAACTGATGCAGGGGTCAACGGCCGCCATACGAGTTATATTTTTGAAGATTTTACGAATATTTACTTTGCCTTTGTAAGCTCTAAAATAACTTGCTAAAAATATGTCATGTTCAATTGTATACAGCTTTGTATTTCTTCTACTTGGTATTTACTTAATTATTTTTAACAAAACGAATATCCTATTAACAATCAGACTGTCACACTGCCTGAGGAACGCTATAGCCGGCGTGATCCAGCCGCGTTATTATTCCGGCGCCATGTGCCAGCGGCAACACTTGACAGAAACCAGTCGACAGTACGTAAACATACAGCTAGGTGTTGAATGTAATGAGTTCCGCATCAACCTACGCACCACAACGTGCTGACCCGCTTCTGTTCCGGGGACAAAGTACCCGCACACCGGCACACACAAATGTGATTTGGAACTACGCTGTCAAGTACGTGGCAGATGAGATATCCGCACTCGCACCCGCTTCCACTAATTACCAGTCGGTCAATTACTCTTGGCTCATTAATCTATTTTTGTACATCCAGTAGTCTGTCGACTTATTTTAGTGTAACTTCCGTATAAAATATGTACCGTGAACTGTTATCGTGCTGAAACTGTGGGCGCTCACCGCGCACCGCGCACCCAAATAGAATAGAATGAGTCCGAACGAGCGAGGCGCGGCAGGCATGGGCCGCGTGAGGCCCAGCTCCAGCGGGGAACCAAGTGTACACGCAAACATGTCGTGTTTATTCATTCTGCAATGAAAGTTCTCACGGTCAAAGGGAATGTACAAAAAAAAAGCCCACGCAACGAAAAACTAACATAGGCATTTTACTAGTCACATTATTTAAGAAATTGGATTTACTTAATTCACGGTCATTTTTTGCCAGTCTTGGATATAAACAACAACAAAAAGTAATTGAATAGTTTATTCTGGTATACTATTACCTCTCACGTAACAAGCAATCAAGACGCGCATTAACAAGTCTGTCTGTAGTGGAAAAAATTAAACGGCTGCAAATTAGTTTGTTGACAAAAAAATGTTCGTGTAAACTTATAAATAAAATAGTGACGATAGGAATGAACCTGCTGCAACAAACATCAGGACGCTTGTGTCTTGTAGTGAGCCCTTACCAGCCACGTGCGGAGCATGGTGTACGATGAAAGTGAAGCCAGAGCACAACTGCACGTTCATTACATCTCTGGAGCGATGTATACGCGTAATAGAAGTCAACAATCGCCAAGAGAGTACCTACCGCTGGGTTCAATGCTGGGTCGATCTTTTTCCCAACTAGAGGTAACCAAACGCATACGAATATGTTTTTTGTTTCAATTTTCCAAAATATATGTGGCCAATGTTACTCCTTAGTATGTCACCTGCCAATAAAAGTCTTGCCATATCGGTCCAGCCATTCCAGAGATTAGCCAATAAAAAATTGAAAAAAATAATATTTTCTGTAGAAAGCGGTTATGCAGACAATCCAATTTTACTCATCTGTATGTATAGATATTATTCCTCGTTGGCCGAGTGGTCGCAAGTGCGCCTGCCGAGCAAGGGGTCTCGTGTTCGATTCCTGGGTCGGGCAAGTATTATTAGGTTTTTAAAAAATTCTCATTAGTAGTAGCAAGGAGTCTGGAAATGTGCCCGGTATATGTCAATAGGCTCACCCCCTATTACGTGGGACTCATAACATAAATATTGAAAAGTGGGTGTTACATTGTACAAGTGGCATTAACTAGCCTAATGTGCCCGTCCCAGGGTAAAAGGCGTGATGTTGTTGTGTGTGTATGTATAGATGACATTAAACAGTAAGTAAAGTTAGACGACAAACTGTTGAACGTAATTACTTTGTAGTTTATACATTGACATCTGTATTTTATAGTTTATACATTGACATCTGTATTTTTCTTTCCGAAACAACATAGTGATGTAATTTATTATAATTTTATTCTAATTGAATATAATGAAGTACATTTTGGTTGGGCAGCGCCTGCGCAGCGCCGCGCCGGTAGCTGGCGGCCGTCACGTGTCTGTACATCTAAATATTCAAAGTCGCGCTTTTTGTCACATCTACAATATTTAAATGAGGACAAATATTGACCAATAAGGAACTGGTTTATACACTATAAACATAGGAAAATTACGTGTTGTTGATAACAAATAGCGGACCTGTACCTACTCAGGTACAGGTGCGGTGCTGACAACTTGGGGCGTGATATCTATCCAGACAGCATTACTTTATGGTTCATCATCATCGACAGCCTATAAGCGCCCACTGCTGAGCAAAACCTCTTCTCGCACGAAGAAGGTTTGCTCATTAATCACCACGCTTGCTCAATGCGGGTTGGAGATTTTAAACATATAATTAGAAATTATAAGCCCAGGTTTCCTGACCATGTATTCCTTCACCGTTTGTCAGTGGTGTCTAGATAATCTCAGAAAGTACATATAACCCGGAAAAAGTCACATTGGTACTTGCCGTTGGTAGGATTCGAACCCGCACCCTCACGCATGCGAAGCGAGCGTCTTAACCTCCGGGCCACCACGACACGACAATTATGTTTGATGGAAGTTTATGGTTGATGGAATTAAAATGTTGCAATATTGAAAGATCATCATTGTGTACATCAGTCAAAGCTGACCGCAGTAGCATTCTATTCTAAATGTGTGCGGCGGCTACTGCAAGCGACGTCGCCGCCTGCGGTCGCCCTGTTACCCTGAGGGCATTCACTGCGCGATACACGCAGCTACCGTCAGCTCAGCAGATAGGTAACCACGCGATTGATTAAGAAACAAACGATTCCCACAAAGTCGGTCATCGGCAGCGGCTTGAGATAACCCGCCGCCGCCTTATCTACCACGATACGAGCATTAGGTGAGCCTACATACTTGTTTACATGTTGTTGTTTAGTATTGCAAAATAAAACTGCCGCCGTTAATGTCAACTTCAACGTTAACGATGTAGGTACACAATGCTTCTATGGAATTTCGACAATACGAGAAGTAGCTACACGCTGGACGCAGCCGGAGAATGTTGTATAGTAATACCAAGAGATATGGAGCTTACAGCATACTGCTAATAAGAGCGGCTGCAATAACAACTACAACGCTGGACGTACACTGTACAATGCGTGAGCAAACACCTTGGCGTTAGAGATATCAACAGCTACAGGTCAGTATACGCGCGCCGATATTGTCCTCTTTTATATTACCAATAATCGCAGGCCACTAAGTAAACAAACACACACGCGCCCGCGACACGTGTGCGCGGAGCGTGCACACGGCGCGCCGACACACGCACACACGCATGATATACGACCTCCATTACTCAAGTCATTATCAAGTTAGGTGTAGCTTACATTGTGTTATTATGAATGAAATAGGTACTAGTCGTCCTAGAGTGCGACCTATGTCTTTGTGCTACGCCACCGCTACGCAGTCGTGACACCGTAGCTAAGCTACTGCTACACCTCTATTACGATGCTGCTCGTTGCAGCTGCGTCTCAACTACATCACCGCTACGCAGCTTCTACGTCTCGTATACAATCACCGCCACGTAGCTGCTACGCCTCGCCTGCATCGCAGCTACGCAGCTGCTACATCTCAACTACATGAGCGCTACGCAGCTGCTACGCTTCAACTACACCGCCATCGCTACACTGCTGCTAAGCTACATACAACTACGATGCCGATACGTAGCTGCTACGCCTCAACTACACCACTTACGCTGCTGCTGCTACAACTTTACTACTGCCTCGCTACGCCAGGAAACTAAAGCATTATGCTTTTTACTGCATTTTGCTACGGCACCACCATGGGTCGCAGTCAAAACCATAAACACTGAAAATATTGATGTCAAGTAATTTGATATTCTGTCACTTTTATGTACTCTTAAAGATCTTTGAAAGTATTATATTATTGCATGCTTTTTGTGTCACTCACACATGATTAAGAGGAAAATCTAACAATTATGGGCATAAACCGAAGTATTGTATAAGTTCCCTGGAGTACCGGAGTGAGTATGAAGTAGAAACGCGTATGACGACTGTTATTATACTTTCTTCGAATAATGCAGAAAAATAATAAGGTGAATATCTGTGAAGACGTACTCATCAACGGACACAGTTTGCAGTAGTATTTTTTTAAGGGGGGAAAATCATCGAATAACTTCTCCCGCCATGGTGAGGCGAGGGAGGGAGTGTCAGACTCTTACTGACTAAAAACCACCCCGTTCCTTCTCCTGCACGTCGAGCCGGAGCCCCGGTTACCCGTTAGGTTCTCAGCGACAGTTTGCAGTAGCATAGCATTACCCGGTGATAGAGCGGGCGGTGCTTACAAGCCGTGCTGTCTCGTTAGTAGGTAACTATGCTGTACAACCCGGGTAAGCTCGACCACTTGACAACTTATCTCTCATAAAATCAGCATACTATTTAAAAACGTTGTATAAAAGGTTGTTCCGGTGTTAATAATAAAAACAGAGATATTTAGACATTATTTTCATAATATTGGTTGTTGAGCCCGAGCCATGGTACAGCTCCAGTACGTGCTCTCACGACAGTTGTGCTAGTGGAGATGTACGCGACGCGTGCGATGTCACGCAGCGCACGCAGCGCACGCAGTGTGCGTGTCGCGCGCGCATTATGCTACAAATATTCATTACTTCATATTACGCTCTGTGGCCTAATTCATTCACTCTAATTATTATAAAAGCTCGCCCGCAGCAATACTGTTCCGTGCTATGTTAACAGGCACAGGTCACAATGAGATGACTTACGGACACATTAATTGAGGTTGAGATAAATTCTATTTTCTTATCAAAATAAAAAAAATATAAATAAATGCAATTAGCGTAACGTAAGTAATTTATTATTTATTTAATGATACGAGAAATATTCTAATATTTAATTGTTAAAGATGAATGAAAATATTCTCATTTTATTTTATAGTATTCACTCAGAGATATAATTAAACGCCACATCTGAGATCCTAGTTTTAAAAGTAATCAAATTATTTAAAGTTTATGAAAATGTATCTAAAAATAACTATTTTTATATAAAAAAACCCCGAATTAAAAATAAATATAACTCGAAGTCGAAACATGCTAACTGTTAAATGTACGATCAAAGGTCGGGCAATAGTATTACCTGTGCGGCGTGGGCGCAGCGAGGAACACGTAGTTGGTGCCGTATGCTCCCGTCAGCAGCACCGGCAGCGCCAGCAGCAGCGCCAGCCGCGCCTGCCAGCGCCCCCAGCCTGAGCTCCACTCCTCGCTAAGCACTGTGGCGCCCGTCATTGCACTGCTGCCACTGCACTGTCTCGACTGTGTGCACTATCTCGCTGAGCTGCTATTTGTGTCTAAGTCGACGGTTGTCAACAAAGTTAGGACGAGCGCGCAACTAAGTGAGCTTGTGAGTGACGCGGCGGCGGCGGCGGCGTCCCTCCAGCCAGAAGGTCGGCGAGGTTGTGCCGCTGCCGAGCAAGCAGTCGGGACGACGCGCGCCTACGCCGACACCCGCGACACCCGCCGACACCCGCCGACACCCGCCGACACCCGCCGACACCCGCCGACACCCGTCGCCTTCAGGATCACCTGTTTCAGGCTATCGTTGATAGCGAAAACGAGATAGGTAGCCCGCTTGACAGTTGACCCTTTCGGAGATATCACAATCTCAGACTAAAATGAATCTTAAATCCCTACAGTTAAGATTCATCTGTTATTGGCACATTAAGTTCACGGAAGCCAGGCCGTCGCCACGTGCTCGGTATAGCGTAAACACTAAAATAAATTGTAGTAGGTTATTCGCATTTAGTTAAACATGATATTTAAGGTGATGCCAATTGACCATACAGCAGATATTTTTTATGAGTTTTATTTGGCGCGGTCCCAATTAGAGCACCGCTAGCGTACACACACACGGCCACCAACAAGACTCGCTCGCGTCGCGTCGTCCCCTACAACAACGGCACGGTCCGCACGTACAGCTCACGATGCTAGTTTTCCTTTCCTTCGTACAATTCCGTGGCAAGTCAAAGATAAATTCACTTATCTACATAACAACAACAAATTTTCGCAATAATTTTTCTAATTGTAACACACTTATGTATAGGTACTTTTACAGGTCTTCAGCCGTGTGGTCGTCGTACATATTATAATCACGCAATACTAAGTAGATGCTACGCGCAGAAATAAATAAATATAAGTTAAATTTTTACACAATCTACCTACCTACACGTGACAACAGCGCTCACAGTGTAATAAACCTTTTACTGGTAATAAACAATCACGATCACAAGTACCTAGGTACGTTCCCGTGCATGAAAGTAAAGTTGTCTTGTTTTCTTACAATAATATTTTAAAACGTGCTGCAGTATTCATTTTGTTCATGTGTTGTGGGTAATCCAACAATAATATTAAATAATCACACCAAGTATTGCTTGCGGCCGTTCTTACCGTCGAAATTACCTAATAACGAATTTCAATCTAATATATTTGTAAAAGATAGATTTCTGACATAGGATGTGTGGAGTTTCTCTCAAAAATCGATCGACGTACAGTTTTGGAACTTTGAGTACCGTCATAATAGATACAATTGAAGATCAATAGGTTGCGGTCACCGGTGTCCTCGCGGTGTTTGACTGTTTAAGTTGTGTTATTAATTTCACCCCTCCTATGTAGAGGAGGCTGCAGTTACTCACTAACAGAACGGTTCATTAATAACATTGTGACCACACGTGTGCGCCTACAACATGTTAGGTAGTGAATGTGCGCAAACGACACAAACACCGCTCGCGCAGGAAGTGCCTGCAGGCGTCTGTGTGGCGACGTTATTTGTTGTGGTTGTGGTACTCGTTATACTGCTTGTAAGAAGATCCAGTGAGGCATAAACACAATATTATACTGTTTGTCTGAATCTGAAGGATACATACCGCATGTACCCACACATGTCGGCCACAAATACAACCTGGGATAGTTTGAGGAACATTCGACACACGCTATATATCTATAGGTACAAGAGTGACATAATTATCATAGTGAGGCACTGGGTGTGTGATACACTACATATTGCTGATACCGGCTGCTATCAGTAGTTACACTAAAAGCTTAATTCTGTCCAAATTCACAATTCCATAAATATAACCTAGTTGTGTGTGGTGTAGCAATTAGCTCTAAGCTCATATCCCAATAACAAACAATCCGGCTAGATAAGGCACCTTCGTGGATCGAGTACTTACAAACAAAACTGCCAAGACTCTTGACTTCATCAGTCGATTCCTGGGTTCAAGCAAAGTATGTATTACTTATGAGGTTCTCAAAAATTTTCTATAATAAGTACAAACTTGTCGAATATTGTGGACAACACTCAGCCCCTTAATTTATGGGACTCAATTTTTGCGACGAAATTATAAGAGGTACAGTAAGTGCGACGTGCGCCGTGCATCTTCACACGGTCCGAGTAGATGGCGGTCCTTAATCTATCTTATTTTTATTATTTATTTATTTTACATAAGTACAGATACAGACGACAGATTGAAATCGTACACAATAATCAATTATAAATAGTGAGCGAACCTGAAGTCCAATTATAGCTGTACATAATCCATTTATATCAAATTACATGAACAACAACATTTTATATGTTTTGTATTTGATATATATTATGTATTGTATATCTGCTTCTCTAAAATATATCTTTATGTATGAATACCTATCTAGTATTTCCGGAAGGACTCGTTTGCTAAAATATACGTCACACTTTGCATAACAGCAGAGCCTCGAAAGTGATGACACCATTCACCAGCAGTAGTCAGCAAGCCGCGCTATGCGCTGCATCGACCGCTAGTAGACCGAGCGTGCAAACATTGTCGCGTGCGCCGGCGTCGGCGCGGCTCCTATCTCCAGCGTTATCAGCCGGGGCCGCGGCCTGCTGGCACTGGCATCGGTGACACAGTACACGGTGCGACATGGCACGGGCAGCTACTGCGCGCACCAGCGTCACCAAGCACCAGGAGGATGACCCAGGCGCGGCCGCCGCCGACTCGCTCGAGGCCGCGCTGGCCCAGCTGGGACCTTTCGGCTTCTACCAGGGGTACATGCTGATCATGCTGTGCATCCCCAACCTGCTCGCCTGCATGTACTCGCTCAACTACATCTTCGTTGCTGACTCGGTGCCCTTCCGGTGAGTGCACCACTCATCTCTATTTCACGCAAATAAACTACTGTTGTATACCTTTTAGCGGACTTCATATCGGCTCAGTATCAAGGACAGCTAGCATGCCTACAAGCAAATGTATGAGAAGAATTTCCTGCTTCATGATTTTAGTGATGAGCAATAATATAAACATGAATCGTAAATTAAAAATGTTGAAATGTAACGGCTCTGTTTTATAGGTATCATTATACGTTGACTTTACACATGTATGTGTGTACGTACGTAATTATGTTTGTTTGTGAAACGAAGACTTGTCTCATGTAGTACAGCTGCTAAATTTCGTAGCCGTGTCGCCGTGTCGCCGTGTCGCAGTGTTACGGTGTAGGTACAAGTGTACAACGTTGTGTGTATCGAGATAGCGAACGATTGTTGTGTGATTGATCTTGGTATTATCAACAGATATCGGACCGCAATTTGAATATTTCATAAATTACAATCAGCGCAGCTACTACAGAACACAAAATTCAAAATATAAGCTAAGTAATTATAACTTGTAGATGGTACGTCTGCAATGAATGCGCATATATTTACCTCTAATTTACCTAGATAACATAATTATAAGTCTTTTATCACTCGCTCGCGACTTTACTAGACGTAAACATAAGAGGATATTCGAACCTGCTTGTTACGAGTTTTAATTTCAAATTAAAGTTTGAAATCACCAATTCACCTTGAGCAAATGGTAATAACGCTATAAAGCTATAACGCTAACTTCTGCTCCGTGTGGGGGGAGGAGACGGTGAGGGTGTGACTTGCCCAGCAGTAGGACAGTCAATAGCTACAGGTTGATGGGGATGATGTTTCTTATTCGTAGGTATATGTTAATAGTTGCATATTCTAACATAAACATAACATCACGCCTTTTATCCTCGAAGGGGTAGGCAGAGGTGCACATTATGCCGCTATACAATGTAACACCCACGTTTCACTATTTATGTAATGAGTCCCATATAATAGGGGGTGAGCCTAATGCCATATAGAATAGAATAGAATAAAATAATTTATTTGCATTGAATGTAGGTACATAATATAAGGTCTCACAAAGGTATATCGTTCCCGCCCGGTACATTCTACCATATGGCATGCAATTTTTTTTTTAATCTTAACGTCTATGTGGATAGTGGACTATAATACCTACTATGTAAGTTATCTATAAGACTATTACAATTATTAATGGATAACATAATCCTAATAATATTTGAAAATTAACAAAATTCACAAATTATAGCTTAAACAATTTACAGCAAATCAGTCTATATGTTATCGAATAAAAAATGTGACACAGAATAGTATTAACATTTTTAACAAAGATGCAAGTTGTTTTTAAAGATTCTCAATGGTTGCTCCTTAATGCTACTCGGAATCTTGTTATAAACGACAGGTGCCATACCTATGACACTTTCTTTTAATAAAGATGTTTTGTAACCACCGGTACATAGCTTGTCTTTATAGTGAGACCTTATAGTTGTATTCCGGTTAGTTGTATCCTTTAAAGTAGGGAATAATTTGATGTTACTTTTGAAGTTTTGACAAAAATAGAAAGTTCTAATATGTAGATGCAAGGAAAAGTTAATAGTTTACTATTTACAAAGTAAGTTTTGCAGCTGTCTGTAACATTTAGTTTAAACATAGCTCTTAAACAGCGTTTTTGGGCTTTAAAAATATTTTCCCGCTCACAACAATTGGCCCAGAATATAACACCAAATCTCAGATTTGACACTACCAAGCCATGATAAGCGACTAGTATTGCATCAATGTTTACTTTTTTTGAAAGATTGTGCAGTACATATGCCGATGAACCTAGTTTTTTGCAAACAGATTCTGCTTGAGATTTCCAGGCACACTTCCAGACTCCATTCTATTACTGAGATTTTTTTTAAAAACCCAGTAATACTTTGCTCGACCCGGGAATCGAACCCGAGACCCCTTGGCCGGCAGTCGCACTTGCGACCACTCGGCCAATGAGGCAGTCGCAACCTCTTACTTACTATAATAATATGTAATTGCCACGGACTTTCAAACCAGGCAGTGTATTGAAGATACAGTACAAGACAATTGTCACCGCCCCTACTACTCTCCCCGCAAATTTCGTAAGATCATCATCCTAAGGCACTACACATTTGACAGAGACCGCGAGCAGCGACTTCTGATATACCTACCTGACTGTCGCGGATAACCTAACGGGTAACCGGGGCTCCGACTCGACGTGCAGGAGAAGGAACGGGGTGGTTTTTAGTCAGTAAGAGTCTGACACTCCCTTCCGCCTCACCCAGGCGGGAGCAGTCATTCGATGATTTTCCCCCCTTAAAAAATAGCTACCTGACAGTACCTGGCAGTACCTGACTTTCTTCAACCCATCCGCTAAGCGTGAATGTTATGAAAAATCGTCTTTTAGTATACCACGTGCCAGCGACGGCAGTGACCGCAAGCCGCGCTGTAATCAGCAATAATGATTTGTAACTTTCAATATAATGATATTACTTATCGTCACCAAAAATCGGATCATTAAAATACGCATAATCGTTCTGTTATCGTGAGTCTCATGGACCGATGCATAATCAAATCAAAAATATTTATTTGCTAAAATACGGTACAAAAGGTGCAATTTTTTCCAGCGTATCTTGCCATATGTGGCGTGCATAGTTATTATTAAAATGATACTATCAACACTATCAAGATTCAATCGACTTATCTTCTAAATAGTCCTTAATACTATAATACTATAGTAACTCTTGGATAGCTAAAGTTTAAAACAGCAGTGGTGTACAAATAGTGACAGTGACAACATACAGGTGGCGCTACTATTCACATTCACAAAATATGATAACTACATATTATTATACCTGCCAAACACCCAGACCAGACAAAGAATCATTTCATGCTGCAACTAAACCCATGCTGCGTTGCGTAGCAGCCGGTGCGTGGCCCAGCCGATACACCAACCGTGTAGTAGACATACAGAGGCGTTGACAGTATTTGACGATATGAGAGAGCTCCATACTTTCATTCATTTCGTTTCTCCTACTAATGGTTAATACTCAAGTTGCTAGGGAGGGTGGACGTTGAATCTGTAGTGTAGGTAGACTCAGCATCGACGCCCGATCTCAATCTTATCGTGAGGTGGTTTGATAACAGTATGTCGAGCTATCTGTAGCCTGACTTACACTGCTGCCTACTTACGTCCCATACATTCCATGACGTCTCGCCGAGTCGCCGTCCAGCACAAGGTACAGTTACTGTGTGACCGTGCCCCAGCTGTGTGTGCTTACGACATCATTCACCTACTTAGGAATTACATTATTTTGATAAACTCGTTCCACTCAACAAAATGACTCATAGTAAGTATTATTATTCACCTTCGATAAGCAAATACATAGTATCCGTACATCTGGTGAATAGTGAAAAATAGAAATATAACGTTAATATCGACATAAGTATAGACCTTGCTATATAGATACATTATTCGTCGCAGTACCTATAGTCTGAGATATAATGTTAGGCATCTATGTAAGTATGTATGTACAATGTACATACGTATGTACGGCAAACATGTATAGCGCAGCTGAAGATTAGTGTATTGCTAGTTTAGTATTGAGTTTCACTCACATAATGACTGGTCTGATGCTTAAATAAAAACGAAAACAGAACCTGACACTATTGTGCGGAATTTAATAATAGGCTCACTACACACACGTACAGTTTCATTTATTATCTAACTGTAGTGTATCGTGTGCTCCACTTTAGTACATTTTACCATCATTAAACTGTCAAACACCAAGCGGCCACCGGTGACGGCAACCTATTGTTCTGTAATTGTGTCTATAATGACGGTACTTGACGGTGTGGCTTGTTTGTCATGCTACTATCGTCAAAATTACGCACTTTAGTCTTGGAAGATTAAATTCATAAAAAAATAGTACTAGTTCATAGTTCATAGAAAATTAGTAGTAGTACTTTGCTGACACTGAAGTCTTCTGAACAACAACTGAGACAAACGGCCCTAGCAATCTGAACTACACACAATACGTGTAAAAGAGCCAACATTCCGGCACGATCGGGCCGGCTAGATTGAAGGTTGTTGTGGCATACATACCCCATCCCCAACACACTTCTAACTTCGTTTGTGTTGTGTCAGTCAGACGATTCAACGGCTCGTTTGCCATAAAAAAATAAATAAATAGGTACATTTAATTTTACTTATATTGATTTAATTTCAACCCAACAGATGAATGTATAGGACGAGTAGCTACAGAGTAGGCTGTGATTTAGGAAATTATTAATTTGTCTGTTGAATGTTTCAAAGTCAAAGCATTTATTTCAACCAAACCATAAACAGGTACTTGTGAAGCGTTTGTATATTATACCTGTGGTATTACATGTTTGGTGTGTGTTGATTGATGTTGTAGTTTTTGTAAAATGTCATTATAATTTATAAGTACGGACTATGGTATAGGTGCGTGGTGCCGGAGTGCGAGGGCGGGTACCCGCAGTTCGAGAACGACGCGGCGGCGGCGCTGCTGCCGGGCGGCGCGTGCGAGCGGTACGAGCCGCTGCAGCCTGACCTGGCCTCCTGCGACCGAGACTCTTTTCACCAGAACCACACCATCGCTTGTAACTCATTCGTCTACGAGAATTTTCACACCATCTTTGCTGAGGTAATTTGATGCCATACAACATGATACCTGTTATTTACAGAAAGCTCACCTTCCGCTCCAACAGCAATTTGTTAATTTTATACACTGGTATGTTGTGTAGTAGTGGGAGCATCGTGATGGCATGTTTCAGTTCGACCTGGCGTGCCGCGAGTGGATGCGCACCATGGTGGGCACGGTGCGCAACGTGGCGCTGCCCTTCGCGCTCGTCCTCACCGGCTACGTCTCGGACACGTCAGTACACGCCGCTACCTCCTCATCGTCCACCCACTGCTACTTACTTAATGCTCAGTTGACGCTCAATTTCAGATATGGCCGCCGAACGGCTTTCTGCTTATTCTCTGCGTTTGCTGGCGTGATGGGCATCCTCAAAGCATTCTCCGTCAACTACCAAATGTACTTGGCCATGGAGTTCTTCGAGGCCGCGCTTGGATACGGCTTCAATAGTGCCGGCTACGTGATGAGTAAGGTTACATTCCAGTATCACATGCACTGTCTCTTGTCTTAGACTGTTTGTGTGACGGCTGACTCTGCGCAGTGGTGGAGATTGCGCACCCCTCGCTGCGCGCGGTGTTTGCGTGCGCCACCGGCATCGCGTACGGCGTTGGCGGCGTGTTATTCGCATGGGTGGCCTGGGGCGTGCCCTACTGGCGCCACCTGCTCTGGACTATCCACTCCCTGGCACTGCTGCTACCGCTGTACTGGCTGCTCCTCGACGAGAGCCCGCGCTGGTTGCATGCCAAAGGCAACGTTGACAAGACCGCTGCCGTCATTAGGAAAGCAGCTCAATGGAACAAGGTAGTGGTAGACGAGGCGCTGATGAGCAAGCTGCAGGAGACGACGCGCGCGGCGGCGTCGGGCGGGCGCGAGCGCGCGTGGCTGAGCGTGCTGCGCTCGCGCGTGCTGCTGGGGCGGTTCGCGGTGTGCTGCTGGTGCTGGGCCGCCACCACCTTCGTGTACTACGGCCTCACCATCAACTCGGTGGCCCTCGCCGGGAACAAGTACGTCAACTTCGCGCTCAACATGTCAATGGAGATAGCAGCCTCCGTGCTCATCATGATGGCGCTCGAACGTATCGGACGAAAGTTGTGCATATTTTTTGCATTTCTGCTCTGTGGGATCGCTTGTGTTTCGCCATTTTTCATAAGTAAGTAATTCCGTAACATCATTATAGAAAAATGCCAAGAGTTTAGTCTCAAATAAGCAATTGGTGCAGAAATTGAATCTGAGCCATCATGGGTCAGGTCAGTAATGTTAAACATAATATCGATTTGAGTTTCCAATAGGTTTATTAAAAATATTAGCAGGCAATGTCAGTCGGACTCAGTTTAATAATGAAGCAATATTTGCGCGTAGATCATGAGGGCACCACCCTGGCGATGTTCTTCATGGGCAAGCTGTCGATCACGTTCGCGTTCAACTCCCTGTACGTGTTCACGGCGGAGCTGTACCCCACACACACGCGCTCGTCTGCGCTGGCCGCCTGCTCGCTGGTGGGCCGCGTCGGCTCCGTGCTGGCGCCGCAGACGCCGCTGCTGGTCAGTCACACGGTCAACGTCCGAGCCGAGGTCTGTCACGCCGAGCACTTAACGTATGATGTGTTTACAGAGCATGTACCTGCAAGCGATTCTGTATGGCGCATGCAGCGTGACGGCGGCGCTGGCGGTGCTGTGCGTGCCGGAGACACGGAGCGCCAGCCTGCCGCAGCGCGTGGCTGATGCGGAGCGCCTGCGCCCTGCAGCGCCCCCGCCTGAGCCCCCATTCGCCCCCGAGTCCCCGCCGCGCCCCCGCCTCGTGTCCGCTGAAACGTGATCCTGAACATAGAGCGGAGACCACTCTACGACAGGGCGGTGCACGTCACCACACCGTGCGACGCCTCTCCACACAGCCCGCAGCTCCGACAGTGCGCTTCGGTCGGAGAATGAGTACACGGTACTAATGTACGTGCACCTCGCGGATTTTGACACATGTATGTTGTGCGCGTGATACGGTTTGGATTGTTTCAAGATGCCTGTCCAAAGTGGGTGTTACATAGTGACATACCTCTGCCTACCCCTTCAGAGGTTAAAGGTCGTGATATACTTGACGATTATACTTCATATAAAATTAAATTAATATGAAATAAGACTACCTAGATATAACTCCACTCAGTACCTGGTGAGGATGGTGGTGTGATGTCTCAAGTGTACTCGTGTCACTGTCGATGGACAATACCTATTATATGAATACATATATATGACACTTGTTTATGGTTGTACTGTGGTATTATAAAATAAAAGGCATGATGTAACATAATTTATTTATTGAAATTACAAAATCTGGATAGCAAAAATATACAAATACAAAATCCCTTTTCCAATATTATCTAGGTACCTACTTTAATATATTATATACATTTCACATTACCATTGTATGTGGGTACGTACTGGCAGTGGCACTGTACTTCCATATAATGAAGTAAAAACTACGAACACATAACGAAACAACACAAGATACTAAATCATGTGTCTTGTGTCTGTCTCCACACCGCTGTACCTGATATAAAATCCCAAGGTTTCATAGACACCGCGGTGGACAGTGAACGACTTCTAAATAGTGTCACTTTGTCTGTGGAACTCAGGGATGGTGGCAATGATGACCAATATTCTTCAACGTCGTTAGCACTTTGTATGTATGTCACGTTATGTACCAGTGCAGTACGGGCCAGTGGCAATAGTACGTCACTACCAGCACGTACTCACGCACGAACATCAGTAGTTATCGTCACTATAATACTTGATAACGTACACCCTACCTACTACATATTGTACTTACATTTACAGTAGCCACGGCGAGGTGTGCTCACCCAGCGGGGGACTTCAGCTAATACTATACAGTTTACAGTAAACATGCACGAACCCCACTTTAGTCAAATAATAAAGATGTCAACTGCAATGACCGCGTGCGGACGACATGTGAGCACGCTACTCGCGTGTGTGTGTCGTCAGTCAATTCAATACGATTGTACGATATGTAACAGAGACCCGGTGCTGCCTGCTAATGGTTAACCTAAACCTTTTAAATTGCGTTATCTAACCCCTTTGCTAAGCGTTGAGATTGTGGCAAACCCCTCTTTTATAAAGGAAGCCTATAGTCCAACCGGGGACTCCCACGGACTGATGCTGAAGCTGCAACCGAGACCACACTCCACACTTAGGCCCAGACCACACTCCGGTTAGACCATGGTGGCTTCTACATAATACCTTGGAAACAACCGACAAATCTTAAAACTAATATTATGTTTTTCGGCCTACTCACGTAATTATTTGACGGGGAACTTGAGCCATAGGCTCATATTCATGAGCAGCATTCCGCGATCCGCGACGCGGCGACTGTCGCGCTCCTACTGAGTAGCAAAACGTAAAGCCGAAAAACAGAATAATTAATTTAGTATGCCTCACGGAAGATATAATATAAAAATGTTAAAACATTGTCTGACTCGCACAAGTGCCTTATTAGTGTAATTTAAATTAACTCTCGTCTTTTGCGGCTTTACATCAAGTTATGAATTACAGAAACGAAGACAAAATCAAACCAATTATATAATAGGCAAGCAACTTGTGCAAGTGCCACCGCTTCTAGTTATCGTTTTCGTGTTTAACCGCAGCTCTGTGCGGTCGGGGCCTTAATTATATACTTAATTAAGAATCTATCATCATACTGGCATTAGATGTGTGAAGAAATATAAAATTGTTGCTAGGCAAGTGAAACTATATGACTGCATTAGTTAAACATTATATCTAAACACGTACGTGTTTACATCGTGCATGCACTATGCACTCTGTGCAGACACGAGCACGAGTGAGTCAGTGAGGGACGATTCAATGAACGGAGTATTCGCTGTATCAGTCGTCAATGAACAACAAAGTATTTAATACTAGCAGCATATCCACTCACTACACCTTGTTACTGACCTGTTCATAATTTGTTATACTTTGTAGTCGGTATTCTCATATAGTACTAGTATATCGTCTCCCTATTGTTGTGAAATGATTCCTTTCACGAAGGCATTATTTATTATATTTATTTGTTATACATCCATGCATCGCTGTTTCACAAATCACATTAAGGTACGCCATTGATACAGTACAAACTGATAAAGTATTTATTTTATTTACAAATAAATAACATTGATAGGATTGTAACAATACCATACTTGATGGGTCACATGTTATTGTTATTTTCAGTCTTATTAATATTATGCCGTGTGCGCTGTGTGTCCTTGACATGCAGGGAGTATAGGAATGTATGTTACACTGTCCTGCACTGTCCTGCACTGTCCTGCACCGGCCCGCAGTGGGGGTCGTACACTATGCAGTGGCTTCATTTTATTATTATGGAGATGGTCATGCCTTCATCTGCGGACCATAAACAAGCACTCAGTTGCACTCGCCCAAATATCTTGGTCTAGAAGCTCTTTTTCTACCTTAACCCTTAAATTTATAATTATGTAAACCCTTCAAAAAATAATATGGACTAAATAAAGAAATTGATTAGTATGCCTTCTCAGCTCATTTTGTTCTTTTGGTAAAAAATATACATATCTACATATTATCACGTGTGGCTGAGTCGAGCCGCTCGCTCCGCTACCTCCTACCTCGCACCTACACCGACACTAACTAATTCAACATTAACTTAATGACGTCGGAATTTCTTTCTTTTTCGAAATGATCATAATATGTAGGTACTTGAAACATTATCGTCACACTCAAACATTAAAAATACACAAAACGAATCAAGCATTGTTTGATTTCAGTTAAATATGTATTCGGCAATCGCACTTTGCTCTGTCATCGGCATATAATTAGCGCGGCCTTTGTCCTACTTACTCAGTACCGAGCACTAGTGCCGCCAGTCAGTGTTGTTTAATGCTGAGCTTACTACCTGATTTGCCTAATTATTTGTGGCTTCGAATAATGCACTGACTGCGATGTAAGCACTCGTGTATCAGTGGCGAGTGGCGGCCTTCACAAATAATTTACTTACTTACATATAGGTACATTTAGAAATACTCGTAGCAACGTCGCATCGCGCGCTACCATCAGTCTTCTTAAGCTACAGGATACTTGGCATGGCAACAGATGACGTCACGTCTCGTCCCGGGTGAGCACGCGCAGCTCGTGGTCCGCGGCCGCCGCGCGCGTCTCCAGTGCCCCCGGCGCCCCCGGCGCCCCCAGCGGCGCCGGCCGGAGCCGCCCGTACACCGCGCGCAGCGCCGCCAGCGCCGCCAGCGTCAGCGCCGCCGTGCTGCCGAACGTCGCCACCGGGCCGTGGCGCGCGTACACCGCCGCCACGAACACCGGGCCCAGCGCCCGCGACAGGCAGCCCGCGCCCGTCAGCACGCCCTGCCACACGCCCTGCACACCAAACGCAAACGTCGGCTAGGGGCCGGCCTGCGCGGGCAGGTGTAGAGACTACTACCCGCGTGACACCCACACACAGACTCACCTGAGGCCTGGGGCCCAGCACCTTGGAGAATATCGTCTGGATGAGCGTGACACCGAGCGAGTACCCGACGGAGACGCAGGCGTAGCCCGCCAGGAACTGCGGCAGGGTGAGGCCGCGCGACGTGGCGCACCAGGGCTGCGTGGCCTGCGGGCAGCCGCCGCCCGCCTCCGCGGCGTCGGCGGGCGCCAGCGGCGGCGGCGCCGGGCCCCACGGGATGCACAGCACGGACGCCAAGCCCGTCAGCAAGAACCCGCCCCACAGTAGCAGCGCGCTGAAACATTCTCCGCTTTATTCAGAATGGTAAAATAATCGTTAGAAATAATCTTAAATAAATGAAACCGTGAAAAAAAAACACAATCCATTAGAGCCTATGTTCAGCAGTATACGTATGTAAAATTGATATTTTGATATTACTCCGCTGGTGCGCGTGTGCCTTGTTTACCACCGCCGTGGTATAAAAAAACTGGAATTTTAAGTTACCACGCAAATGATGGCACGCATGTACACGTAGGTATGTCTAATGAAATAGTATTGTTCCTTAATTAAAAGGTGACAGGTCTATCTAACCAATTTCGATTGCATCGGCCAATTTCTAAAGTAGATAAACAGAAACAGTAGCAATTAGGTGTAATTACCGCTCTTCAAAGAACCGTGTGAGCGGGCCGATGAGTGCGAAGGTGATGCAGGCCAGCACGGCGCCGGCGCTCATGAGCGCGCCCATGTACTCGAGCGCCTGGCGCTTGGTCCAGGCGAACTGGTCCATGGTCAGCACTGTGGCCAGGGTCTCGAGCAGCACAAAGTTGAACACCAGCACGAAGAATGCCGCCACCAGCGTCCAGCTGCTCACCAGGTCCGGCTTCAGAGCTTTTAGAGCTTCTTTTTCTGTAACCAGAGATTTAAAAAGATATTTTCTACAACGTAGATTGTACTCATGGGCCTCCTACACACACGAGGTATTCATTGACATACGTCACTACGGACTGCAGGTTAGCGACACTACAACACTACATTTGGGATCAAAAAGTGCCGGGTACACTCTCTGTTCCTAATGTGGATGATCACGGGGTATGAAAATTGAACATAATTAGGTAAAATTTATTTTTGATTTTGTGTTTGTTATTAGTTTTTGGTCTTTTAAAGTCGGTTTTTAAAACGCAGTTTATATTTTATTATTTTCAGTGTAAGGCTATAGATCCGGTTTGTAACTTATCTACTTACTATATCTACATAGGTGCAAATTTCTAATCAATATAAATTATACAAGCCCAAACACAAGGTAGTTACTGTATACCGTTGACGAGTTTCCTTAACAATTACATTTCTTCATCACAGTCCTTAATGACAGTCCCACTCTATCTAGGTGTAAAATCCTCATCAATACCAATTAATCAAGCCCAAACACAAGGTAGTTAATATAAACCAATGAGGAGTTCTCTCGACTGTCTGTCGAATCCAGACCCTTATCAAATCGTAGTGTTTAAAAATCCAAATTGAAAAACATAATAGACGCATTACTCGCCCCTACAATTTTGGAAAGTTCCGTCGGTTTCACTAGGATTGCATCATCAGATTCTGACCTCATGGAAATGGGACCATCTCGGGAATACTCCCGTTTAATTTTCCCGTTTAATATTTCGTTTGAAGGGGTATACACCCTTTCAAACGAAATAATAATTTTGGAAATCGGTTCACAAATGGCGGATTAATCGGTGAACAAATAAAAAAAACAATCAGCCGAACATAGTACCACCTCCTTTTTTGAAGTCGGTAATAAAACGAATCAAAGTTTAGGAGTGGGAGCTAAAACGTCATTTCTACTTATAAAACGTACTTAGAAGACATGTCACGCGACATTTGAAATCATTACATCGTCAAAAGTATTTGTTTCTGTTAGTAAAAAAAAATATGTGTCCAATGTTTTAATAAAATAATCTTCCAGGCGGATATTAAAATAAAAAATTGTCATCTAGTCTATTGTACTATTGCCCGAATACTGAAACGTTACTCAATTTTAAGTCGTGCTTAAGTATAGTTCTGTCACTACAAATTCTTTGTAAAATGACAGAGATGGCACGATATTTAAGTACAACTTAAAATTGAGTAACGTTTCAGTATTCCAGCATATATCCTCTCGCGCCTTTTGGTTTAAAATGGCGATCTGTGGAGCGCCACCTCGTGTCTATTCAATTATGATAACTTTTAATTATGGGTGATGTATAGAGTACTGATGTATCATAGATTTACTTAGGTTAATAGTGTATTTTTATGGGTACGTAAACGAGTACATACCTAAATATATAGTACCTACACTATGTATAACATTCCCTCAGTCAATAACAAATAAGAAAAGATAAACTGCATAAAACACCTACACACCCCCATGGCAGACAGGCGTGAGCTTATGAATGTAAAGTACCTACATAAAAAGTTCGTAACGCACCGTTGTCTGTTCCTTGCGCGATCATGGCTTCTCTGGCGGCAATCTTCCTTTCCTTGAAGCACCAGGGCAAGAAGAGCAAGAGATTGATGAAGCCAAGCGCGGCGTTGATCCACCCGGCGCCGGTGTACATGTCGAGGCGGAGCGGCGAGGAGAAGTCTCCGGGCGGAGGGTACGGCTGGCCTGGTCCCAGCGGAGCCACGGCGGCCTGCAGCGCGGGGCCCACCACGAAACCCAGCACCTGCGCCAGCGACACTACAGCCACGGCGCGCGTGCGCTCGCCCACCAGCGTCGCCGCCGAGAGGTACGACCGCGCCACCGCAATGTTAGCTGGACACGTCACATGCTCCTTGCTTACATTTTTATTTTACAAAAAATAATCATAATTAACCAGAAAATCTCATTGATTTAACTATTACAATATTAATGTCATTGCTGCGTTTGTTCTTCGGTAACTGTTCGGTTCTCCTCTATCGTGCACATAGGTTGGATGAATACCAAATGTTACCTCTAACTAGACAAGACTGTGCTGTTGATAAGTGAAATAAATTTGGCAACCTGAGCTGACGCCGACCAGGAATCTGGCAAAGACCATCCAGTACTTGGCGTAGGGGCGCGTTAGGTGCAGCTCGGCGTACAGGACGCTGGCCAGCACGAACAGCGCGAGTGTGGCCAGCAGCGGCGCGCGCGCGGAGCCGGCGCGGTTGGCCCACAGCCCCAGCAGCGGGGAGAACACGAGCTGGCCCAGCGGGTGCGCGCCCACTGCCAGCCCCAGCACCTCCTTCCGCGCGCCCGGCTCCAGCTGCAACGTACCGTTACACTGTATGTGTAAGTGTCCCGAAGCCAATAATGAGACATATTGTTTTTAAGATTAAAGAATAACTTTCATTATCACCTGAGTTGTAACGGCTGATCCGATACAAAGCACAAACCCTCCCAAGTGATATTACTTTTTTTATATATTTTATCAGTTTCAACAACCGGGTATTAACTAGTCTAATATTAAGTATTACCTAAATCCGCTACCTATAGGAACTGTAGGACTGCCAGCTGTCACCAACTGTTAGATAGCACATGTGCAACACTGCTAAGTACTTGGTATAGTCAGTGCCGGATTAAGCCAGCGCGGGGCCTGTAGCAAATTATGTCTAGGGGCCCTTGGTTTGCTATCGGTTCTCATGGGCATTGGCTAAATTTGGTGCCTTTCTTTTTTCTGGCGTCAGCCGATGATTTATGGAAAATATTGTCTAGAATGACATTACTAACGAAATTGTCCCCATATATATGAAAGTGAGCCCATAGGGCTCATGTATGGAAATCTCAGTCTGGATTGAGTTATGAGCGTTGAAAGGAGCTGAAGTCAAACATTTTACTTATACTATTATATAAAGCGGAAGAGTTTGTTTGTTTGTTTGAACGCGCTAATCTCCGTAACTACAAGTCTGATTTGAATAATTCTTTTTGTGTTGGATAGTGCATTTATCGAGGATGGCAATAGGTTATAAAACATTACGCTACGACCAATAGGAGCCGAGCAGAGCGTGTAAAACCGAGCGGAAGTAGCTAGTTATTCATATTTTTGTCACAATTCAAAACTTTAAATTGCCTGTAGTGCGTCGGGCGCAGGAACACCATATCACACCACAATATATTCATATTGCCAGGCACTAATTTTTATTACCTATTTTCTCTCAGTCGATAACTTGTGGGATGCTTCTAGGAGTTGTGTCATGAAGCTTCATGAGCGTCAGCTATGTTACCAGTGGTGGGTTGAGCGGTGGTAGCCGTGCGAATATCTAATAAAGTATATTTTGTTTTGCCATTGACTCCTGGTGGGAGATTCATCTACTTTATAGTTCGCATAATTTTTTGTAGAAAGGAAACCGTCGACTTTGTAAAGTGATATACGTCAGATGAGCGTATATTTTTTTTCATATAACGTGATCAGTCGGAATATAATTCATCACTTTGTGACTGAATGACGATATCTTTGTACAGAATCTTATCCTAGCTGTAGATTAGAGTATTAACTGTAGTTAAATTAGTGACTAATCGGGAGTAGGTCGGGAGAAGTAGACAGAAAAAAAATCTTTTCTTTTTCGACGATTGCCACTACTCAATCCGCTACCGACGCCGCAGCTAACAAACATAGCATTTCGTGATAGGACTCAGTAAAGTATTTTGCGGGTTTTCGACTGAGAGGATATTGAAACTTACATGAAAATCTGTCATAGGCCATAAACCGTATACATATGTATAAAGTGAACACGCTAGCCAAGCAATCGAAATGTTTTTTTTTTTACTTGGGCAGTTTTACGTAATAAAGATTATTATTATTATTGAAATCGTTTATAATCATTTATTACAAAATATTTCTGACAAGTAAATGAAGAAATATGCGTTGTGTACGGTCACCATCAACAAAATAACAGGAATAATATAGCACTATGTAATTTAGGGTATTATTACATAAAACAAAACTGTTACAAATAAACTTATCTGGATTTGTTATGGGCAAATTTAGCGATTACACTTTCAATATCGACTTCTTTAACATCTTGAACGCCATGGGGGACAAGGTATGGGCCCTACGCTAGCAGAGGATTTACCTTCAACAGTTTTCTGTCGGCAGTCAAAGCCTTAAGCAAGTCATGCTCTATATTCAACATTGTGAGATGATTAACACATTCTTGGCCTATAGTGTTCCTTAATAAATTCATTTTTGATTCGTTTAAATCGGGCTCGGTTCGCCCGCCAATGGCACCAACCAAGCGAACAAATACTCACTTTCCTTTTCTTACACATCAAAATACCAACTATTTGTCTTTTTTCGTTAATTTGTTAACAAAAAATCAAATTACATGTAGGTTGGTAGTAGTTTTGTAAACAAAACATTTTCTTCATAAGTCTTGCTGTTGAAGTGGTGTAATTACGAAATACCTATTTGAGCGCGGGGCCCTCCAATTCGCGGGGCCCGTAGCATTTGCTACTCTTGCTACGTGGCTAATCCGGCACTGGGTATAGTCGTCATAATCGATGTGGATCGGCATTTTGTGTCTCTGTTATTCGGATTGGGCAAATACTGAGGCAACAAGTCACCGGACAGCGCTGTGCCGTGGTCGCAAACTGCCCTTCCCCGGCTGGCGGACAAACAGACGCGGCGGGGACGGGCGCGTGCCGACCTCGTACTTCTCAATAACAACTATTTTTAGCCTTCATACGTCGCCACAGAGCATTCAATAAACAAAAACGCTGTTCGCAAGCACGCGACCACCACTTTCTGTTTCATATTCATCATCGGCACGCAGCCAGCACACCGCAGTCCAGACACTTGTCACTGCTCAGCAGTAGCACGCCCTGGGCGCTTTCCCTGCGGCCCCGACATCGACATCGACGTCAGCTATAAGCTAATAATATATACACCACCGACACCATTGTTTCTTTATATCTTCTTGATTACTGCACGCATGCTCGACGCATGTTTGTATGTATAGTATACGTAGTACCTATACGGGGTACTGCTCCCCTTAACATATTAGTTGAACTAAATGAAGAACAATACAATACGTCGAGAGAACCAAAGAGTTCTCTCGACTTGTGCTTCATTGCTTGAAGGATTAATTTTACTATTTTATAATTACTATCGCCTGTAATTACCATACTTCGTGTAAATAAACGTTCATGTTCTTATTTTTATATCAACCATTTTACTGAGATATTTTTCTAAGTGGCTACAAGACAAAAAACCACCTGAGTTTCAATAAACCAGTTTAGGGACATCAATATCTGCTCCAAGTATATAGGATGCGTGTAGAGATATTAAATATGCAAACTACCTGTTCTCTTATTCTCACGTCTCTCACTACTCGTTGAGAATACAAGGCCCGTTGAAGGACCAATGAGATTGGTTGCCATGATTAAAATATTTCTGGAGCTCTCTATCTGGTAACATGGTTCTGATTACTCCTTGCTTGGCTTGCTGCTATTTGTTATGTCACTATATTTATTGGGTGATAAACATGAAGTACGTAGGTACTAGGTACCGGCGTACTGGTAAATAATTTAATACTGTGATAAATAGTTTTTGTCAACTTTGTGACGCTGTTAACAGCGCGCGCGCCGAGATAACAGCAGCCCGGCGGCGCGGCGCTGTTAAATCACTGCGCATGGAGTTCCCTACTACCTACTACACATTACGAGTTTCGAATGCAGAATAACAGAACCATAACCACTAGGACCATGGACACGAGTGGTTACTTAGTACGGAATCTAGATTGGATCTGTGTCCGTTGTTTACTCAATAGGGTCGTGGACTTTTAGGCAGATGATGAATCTTTTATAACGTAACTGGCGAAAAATGGGTGTTACAATGTTATATTTAATGTTCTTACTTCTGTTTACCTCCCTCCGAAAATTAATAGCAGTAATGGAACAATCTTTAGAACAATTTATGTAAATAACACTAAACTTATCTTTCAGATTTGCTCTATGACGAAGACTAAGGTAAGGTTACTCACGCACTCTACTCATAGTCCGTTAATTCTAAGTACCCATGGACCAATTTTGGTACCTATCTTCTTCCTTCGCTGTATGAAGCGCCTTTTACTAAACACTTGGGTTGTGTTCGTTCAAGTCATGCCGTATAGATAGCTCACCTTGTCGAGGTAGGGCCACACGCCGGTTAGCACGATACTGAAGCCCAGCGACATCTGGAACATTGTGAAGTAGATGACGTACACGCTGCGCCAGCGCTCACGCTGCTCTTGGGCTGTCTCCAGCAGTGGCGAGCTGGAATCCGGCCCGTCCTCTTCTGAGCCAGGCTCCCGCCGCACCCGCCCCGCCAGGCCCTTAAACCACTCCATATCGCAACCACACTGCACTACTTATCTCCGAAATATCACAAACGAAACAACAAAATGCGCACACGCGTGAACTGGCCGCGCAGCAGACCACACCATCTCAGTTGTAGGTAATAGTCGTGTTCTGATCAGTTTCGGCCAGTCCATCCGAAACAAACAAAGCAAGTAAACAAAGAAGTTAGCGGCGCAAGGGCACGCGCCGCGGCGAGTTATGAATCTGTTGCGCAAGCGCACCGCCACACCCGCGTCTCTCGCGACTCCGCGGCTGACTGACTGACCCCACCAATCGTACTGTGTGTGATGTCGTTCGTTGGCATCATTTTCTTTCACGTAATCTCGAGGCTCACCGTGCCGCATGCCGCCGCGCGCCCGTCGTCGGCCTGATAGCGAGTTGTGTGTTCATGCACTGAGCCATGCTAGCGATCATTATGTTTAATGTGGCAACAAACACCGCCACCGGGCCACCGGCCGCGCTCACTATGTTTTGTGACACATGACACACACTTCAGCTGAGTCATTGCATAAATACTACATGATGCAACGGATTAAAACACAATACTTACGCTCTACTCTTAATATTTAAATAATAAGCCAGGTGTAGGGACGTCTATACACACATGCATGTAAATGCATGTACATACATACATGTTTATGTGTGTGGTTCGTCATATTCCCACTTCACCCTAGTATTTGTATACAATCTGACATTAGTCTTGTAAGAAACACGTGTAGCTGTAGCATGGCAGGTAGCCAGTTACATATAGTGTCGGTACCTAATTTGAAAAAATATTAGAACATTAAACTGATAACATTATTGAGTGTATTAATTAAGAACAGTATTTTTCTTCACAAATGTATACCAGGGTTCGATAGATAAATTCTCCTAAGTTGTTAGTGTTTTGAAAAATTATAAACTGCAAGAGATTTATCGAGTTCTGGAATACTGTCGATGACAATATATTATATGATAATGTAGTAGATAGGTAGGTATAAAATATATACTATTTAATTAGGTATGTAGGTATACAATACTATGTATTAACTTTGTAGTACCCACAAAAATATGTTTCCGTTTTCCCGTTTCAGTATAATTTCAGGAAATCCCCTCTTGCCGTCTACAGTCCCCAAGGGGCAAATCATAACTACCAATTTCCAGTTTCGTGGGTCCAGTTCGGTAATTCGCGCTATGTAAGTATCTATCTACATGTGGCACAGGAGAAAATCTTAGTGCGGGCCTACCTTAAAAAAGTTGTTTTAGCAAGTAGCGAGTAGCGACAATAGAAATACCTACATAATCTTTCGTCTACTTAGCACGGTATCTATCACGGATCACGAGATGCAGCCTGGTGATAGACAGACAGACAGTTGGCCGGCCAGCAAAGTCTACAAGTAGGTAATAGGGTTCCCGTTTTAACTTAGATACGAAACCCTAAAAATTTATAATTAAATTTTTATAGACTATGGATTGAGTTCAGTTATTAATTTCAGCCGTAAATTGACCAGACTATTTTAGTTGGGGGTTGGGGGCGAGCCTATTAAATTACGGACGGGGACTAAAGTTGAAACACTCCCTCCCAAGTCACACATCACTCATCTCTATTCTGTCCGCTATATCTAATAGGTACCATCTCACTGCACATTCCCTTTTTACATGCATGTAAACGATAGCCAGAACTAAAATCATAGATTTACCCTTTTTTTTTTGTTGACGGGGGGAAACCTTCTAAAGGCGCCTAGCTTTTTTGGGGAAAAAAGTTTAGGGAGTGTGGGATTTTTACCTCACTAAAACCTCCCCGGTGGCCACCATCCGCACCTAAAGGAGGCACCGGGTCCTCTTAGTAGACCAACCCCGGAGCCCCCACGGTGCAACGCCTGTTACGGCACCTCCCTATGGAGACTATGTGTCTACCTAGAGCCTCTCTGTGCAGTGCACGGCGGCAAGTGACCACTGTGCCGCCGTCATCCTTGATGTGATTATGTGGGCGCCTAGATTCCCCACTCTATGCGCCCATGACCCCAAAGGTTTGCCTGCCAATATTGCAGGCAGGGAATCAACATATTAAGCGCCGCAGCGGTTGTTTCCTCGACGCCTTCGACGGGCGGGATCTACCCTCTCACGATCCCGCTCAGCAGCCTCCTTATGGGACATTACAGTCTCACAAAAGGTGGCCACTTCCCTCCAACAGATTTACCCTACTTACTGAATTCCTCGGCAAGAAGTTAAGATAGACAGTAGGGCGGCAAATTATGAAATAATAATTAAAAAACAAAAATAATAACCTACACCTATATCTTATATCTGATACTCTTATACTTATTATATAAAGCTGAAGAGTTTGTTTTTTTGTTTGTTTGTTTGAATGCGCTAATCTCCGTAACTACAAGGCTGATTTAAATAATTGTTTTTGTGTTGGATAGCACATTTATCGAGGATGGCTATAAGCTATAAAATATCACGCTACGATCAATAGAAGCTGAGCAGAGCGTGTGAAACCGCGCAGAAGTAGCTAGTATTAACATAATGAGTATAATATTTTTATAAATTAAGTAATTTTTACAGAATGATAATTTAAATTTCACACAAATACATAATTACAAACTTATTAACTTAAAGTATTTTTTCATACAAATTATTCTTTTATTATCTTTTCTCATTTTTTCCCTTCGCATTTCGCAATGCCAATCGCATTCGTACTTTGACATTAATTTAGTATTACCAGCACACAAAGTTCAATAACTACTGATATCTATTTTGATTATCACCTAACAACTTCACATGTTCATTCATATATAACTACAATTAAACAGTATAATTAATAATTATAGTATTTTTTTAGTAGGTATATTCATCTATTGGAAATACTTGTTAGAGAATATTCGTCTTAGTTTTAACAGAAAATTAACATATTTTTAGAATTATAAGACTACGAAATTTAAGCAATAAAAACAGTATGCAACAAGTGTCAAAACATTAAACAGTAAGTGAATAGTTGAAAACATGTTTCATTAGTAAATTTTGGGAACAGCTGAAAAATATTTATGAATAATTGGTAGTTTTTATTATTTTTCTTTGTCTTCTACTTTCGTTATACTCTGTGGAAATAAGTCCGATTGCGATTCCGAGACCGACATATTTTTTAGAACCGACTTCCGACGATTTGATGATTGATCCAGTTGGTCGTCTTTCTGTCTTATTTCCAGTGTCTTAACGTGTAAATTAATTTCTAATCATCATGATTGCCTCACGAACCATTGTATCCAGGCTATTTCAACAATCTGGTAAGTATTCTTTTAACGAAGAATACCTAGTATAACATTACGGATCGAGAAACTCAATGATTATGACAAACTTACTTAGTTTAAACCTGACACATCTGATGGTCTCTTGTTTCTATTAGCTATTATTTTTGTGCTTGTAACTACAACCTACAAGAGGGTGTTTTAAAACAAATTTCATTTATCACATAAAACGTTACATAACTACAAACTTAACCTAACTCCCATCACAATAGACTTTGTTTTCCTTGAGTTACGTACTCTCTAGATTAACGTAATCTTCGTTTCATATAACAATTTTAAAATCTCATTACCAAAGGACAAAATAACCATACCTATATACATAAGGATAATCTTATGCGGTTAAAATGAATTCATTTTCTACTAGACGTACCTATATATCCTGTCAGCAAGGCAAAAGATAAGTGTCGTTCAGAATATGTAGTAAATATAAGATAGAGGTACATTTTGAGTTAGGTGTACAGCCTAGCTAGTTTCAAACTTAACATAAATGAAAAAGGATAGAGTATTGAACTGTTTACCTTATAATTAAAATCACATCATTGTAAATCTAATTGTATCGAGAGGCACTTGTGAAATTCAAGATATAAAAATCATTTTTCTCAGTCAGCCAGTCTCTTAGTGAAGCTACTGGCTTGTTCCAAAGTGGAGACTCTTATAAAATTTCTGAATCACAAAAAGATAGTGGTAGGCAAGGACAATAAAAAAAGGAATACAATGTCACTTGGAAATAATCGAAGCAACAAAATGTCAGTGGTTTATTAATGTGTCCGGGAGTGTGTAATGGGTTATCAGACTATTGTATTTGTTGTTTCAAGAGTCCACCTTTTTTTCTTAATCCTAGTTTTTATCCAAATAAATAATATCTATATATATCCTAAATTAATTGCTTGTCAAAAAGTTATCCCTAAAACTAGCGCTAAAAGTCATCTAAAGGAAAGTAACTTCGTAAATGTTGCCACCAAGTTGTTGTTCCATAATGAAAGAGTGAGTAGAAGAGAGTGGTGAGGTGTCACTATCAAAGTCAAAGTCAAAATAATTTATTTTAATTAGACAAGGAAGGCACTTTTGAACGTCACAACTAAATATTTAGCTATTTGCTCGTTCCAAAGTGTAGATTCCTATGGAGAAGAACGAGCAAGAAACTCCAGAGGTTACTCTTTTTGAATCATCTTCACACAATTTTTGGTTACATTCTTTCGTTGAGTTCAATAATGAAAGAACAATGTAATACCAATATTTGGTTAAGGAGAGGGAAAAAGAAAATAACCTTGAGGACAACAAATTTAATACAGTCTGGAGCTGACCAGCCAGTCCCATTTGACAGCACCCGTTCACGAACATGACACGTACACCAGCACCACCCAACCTGACCATGTTGTAGGGAATTGAGCAATCCACTGCCCGTGCCACTGCCAATGAGACTTTTGAGTGAGCATGACAACTCCAAGCTAAAACAACATGCATTCTACTAGTTTAATTTAATTTAGTTAGTTACAGGGCTCTCACATTTACAATAATTATATAAAGTTTGACAGTACATATACATTTGAATAAAATGGCTGTATTGTTACATGATTGTAACTAATTGGAACATTAATGTTTTTCGCTATCCTGTGGAGCCAGACCAGCCTGCCTCCAAGCATTTTTATCCTCTATGTAATCATTAAGTTTGTAGTATGCCTTTCCACATAACGTTTTATTTAATATGTAATATAAATTTTGACTCATTTAAGTTTTGTATTTCCTCCGGAATTTTATTATAGTATTTAACACATAATCCCATGAAGGACTTTTGTACTTTTGTCAATCTAAATAGTGGCTGACTTATCTATCCCTATGTCTAGTTTGATAGTGGTGTCTGTCAGACACTTTACGAAACAACTGTAGGTTTTTCCTAACATACACAATGTTTTCATAAATAAATTGCCATGGAACGGTCATAATATTGATCTCCTCTACCATTTTAACATTCCTCCACACGAGTGTAATTTCCCTGTGTCATAGGTAACACCAAAACAAACACATGAACCATGATGTTGGTAACTAAATAGAATAGAATAGATTGTAATATTTAGTATTCAAGTTGTGAATGTGGCTTGTGGCTTGCAGTGAGGCGCTACCACAATGAACACTTCAAGCCGCCCACCATGGACGAGCTGCCGGTACCCCGCGGCTCCTGGCAGACTCAGTACGACGCCAACCAGCGCCGCTACAACCTCGCCCTTTTGTTTGGAATCGCCTTTACTGCTGGGACTTTGGTTGTTGTAAGTGTTTCAATGTTTCATTACATAATAATTTTAGAAACACCCTTTTTGTGGCTAGACCAATTACATACATTATATTAACAATTAGACCAGAATCAACAATAGTCTGTTATTGTTGGCAGACTACCTTCTGTTGAGATTTAATCTGTTGTGTGCCGGAACACGGATCCACACAAGACACAATATATTTTCTATTGTGTTTTATATACCAGTCAAGAGCTTAAATTAAGGTTTGCATTAATTATTATACTGATAAAATGTTGTACCTTAAAAGGACAATAACAGTATTACAATTGCCACATTCCCAAAGACAACCAGTGGTTGGATGTTTTGTGCTTCAGACTACAACATGAAATCTCTTGTATGTATTTTGATATAAGTCATTGTTTTGTTCCAGGCCAAGGCGTCTGGACTGGTGTACCTGAACTACTCGCCCCCGAAGTCTTTGGATTAATTTTGCTGTGAAATTAAGATATATTCAAATTTTGTAAAAGAAATGTCAGCAATAAGGAATACGACTTTGTCAGTTACATTTACAAAAATTGAATAAAAATCAATGAATAGTCGGTTTAGTATTCTAATCAATATATTTTTGTTTTAATAGTTTTTTTTTTCATTCCTTTTATTTTTGAGTTCAGGTTTTCAATAACGCACCGCCGCCGCCCACACTCGCAACGCAACGTAGTAAACTGACGGATATGGTTTGCGTATAATGGCATGTAATGCCACTACACTACACATCCAGTTTTTTTCACATTAGGTTACATTTCGTAGAGTCCCATGTGACCCAATTGCCACATACTGAGCACAATTCCAGACTTTGTGCAACTGAAGAATTTTCGGTATCCCAAAAAATCACCAATAATACTTTACCCGAGCCTCCTTGCTTGGCAGTCACACTTGCGACCACACGACTAACGAGGTAATCTACTAACTAAAAATATAAAAAAACTGCATTTAAACAGCGTGCACAAGTTCATTTTAAGCAGTTTTATGCATTAAGTGGAAATTGTCATTGATACTCCTCGTTACAAAAATTTTCGCCTGATGGCATGATTTTAAAGTTGTCCCTGTAATATTATATAAAGTAAACAACATATAAAACAACGATTACTTTATAAGTAAAGCGAAGTGATTCAAGTATTACAAGTACATAGGTATATACATATCGTAAATGTACAAACTCCTGTGTTAAATAAACCACCACACGAAAAAAATATAGCACATGCGCATCAATGTCCCCAAGAAATATCTCGCCGAACAAAAAACATCATCACCTATAACGCGAGGCATCCGCATCACGCGGAAGCCTCGCGTTGTATTTGTATTATACAAAGGGAAAGGAATTGAATCAGACGAGTTGGAATGTATTGTTTAATACATGACCACTTTTATTACAAGAATAAATAAATAATACATATTTATGAAACTTAACAAAGGAGTATATAATGTAGTGACATCACTTTTTTGATACCTGTGCACAGACCTCGACTGAACTGAGCACCTGTAACTGGTCTGATGGAGCGCTAAGTATACATATAATTAATTATATCTCATCTCAGTTTTCAGTCTCATCAGCGAGCAAACCAAGATACTCATTAATATACAAATATCACAGCAAGTTTACATTATTATTTCCGCACAGTGTATCAATATGAAATCTTTTTTTCTTTGTCAGATGTAAATACGAACATTAGTATTAAGATCCAGGAGCAAAAAATATGTTCACATTTTATATAATACGACACGTAGACCTAGCGTATTACTGCGTTTGGATTACTACTTTACCGAACTGGACTTTAAGAATTTGTATACAATTCACACGTAATAAAAAATCTGAATGAATCGATTAAAATTATATGCACTTAGTTTGTAAAGGTTCCGTATATAGGTAAAATGATATACAGAGTACGAAGGCGCGCCCAGTGCGGCAGTCAGTGCTCGCGCGCGATGTCGGAGAATGCGTCCAGTATGTGCTGCGTCGTCAGCGGCAGCGTCAGCCCCGCCGCCGGGTAGCACGCCGCTATACGGGCCTGCAGACGACCCTCGCTCAATTATCTTCATCAAATATCGTTACATAGGCATTGCAACTATTTATACCAATGCAAATAATGTCGAATCCAAAGAAAGTCGACTATAACACACTTAGAAGAAATTAATAATACTGAGTTAGATATTTTAACTTTTCAACCGACTACCTAACTTAAAAAAGGAGGAGGTTCTCAATTCGACTGATTGTTTTTTTTTATGTTTGTTACTCGATTACTCGAAGACGCCTGGACCGATTTCAAAAATTCTTTTTTTGTTTGAAAGGGTAGGTTTGTCATTTGGTCTGATTGTCATGAAGCCAGGATCTGATGATGGAATCCCAGGGAAACTGAGGGGAACTTTTAAAAATTATAGGGGCGACTAGTGCATTTGTTATTTTTTTCGTTAAGTATTTAAAACCACTACAATTTGATAAAGGTCTGGACCTGATCTGATGATGGAGCCGATAGGCAGTCGAGGGAACTCCTCAACGGTTAATAGTAGCTACATTGTGTTTGGGTTTGATTAATTTGTATTTATGAGAACTTTATACCTACGTGGTATGTGACTGCCAACAGTGGCGTGCACACCATACATGCAAATAAGCACTGCATACCCTACAAAATCATGGTAAACCTACATAGTCAAATACATAGTGTCACTCATAAACACGACATGAATATTTACTGACATCATACAGATTTCGTAATTTTATTGATACATAATTTGAAAAACTGGTAACTAACGCCATCTATCGAAAAAATATTGAAGTACTACAACCACTTTCTACTTTCTTCGATATATTGAAGCATTGCGCCAGTGGCGCCGCCACCTCGCTATTGTGTGATGGTGGCGGAAGCATGTACTAATGCGTAGCCGGTACAATTTGCTTGTTTTCTCGTGCTGATGTTGGATTTTTTTTTTGTTAGGTTGGTAATTTCTATACAACTGCAAAAGCACTGCTTCTTCGTTATCCGACTAATTTAAGAAGTCAACAAAACGTAGCGTTTGTTGATTGAAAATAGATATATTAATTTTGGTCAACTTATTGTTTACGTTTTTTTTGGCCATTTTGTTTTGGTTATGTTTTTATGTGCAAGTGAATAAATTGTAATGTAATGAATTATAATTTAAATGAACTGTTAATTTACCGAAAATTATGTAAAATTATAGCTGTGAGCTCTGTGCTGGTGATTTGTGTTGTTCAATAAATTAAATATGAGTGCGTTGTCCTTATTGTCGTTCGAAGAAGAAACGAAAATATTTCCAAAGGCGATTTTGCGTGTGCCGTATATCCGGGCTAGGCGTGTAACTCAAAAAAGGTAATAATTTTATTATTTCTTTTAATAAACTACGATTTGCGATTATAGGTATAGTTTGTTAGCACTGGTTGTGTACCAATTTCATTAATGTTTTTAAAATCCAGTCATCTTGATCTCGCTTTGTACGATTTTTCTATGCATTTAACGGTCAGTTTATACTGGTGTCGCATAGCTTGATGTGTAACCATTTGTACTTCGCCGCTCCAAAGTAGGTACCTAGTTAATAGATTTGTAAAATAGATACCTAGGTATCTATGTTGATCAACTTTATACACGGATAGTTTGAAAATAATTATGTACCTAATTTGTTTATACAAATTAATAAAATAGTTACTAAACCTAATTACCTACTCAAAATTATGATGTCTCGGGAGTTTTATTTTCCGAGATTAATGTAGACCAAATTTTTTTTAATCATGTGATACCTTCTGCCTACCCTACTTCAAATCTCTGTGCACGCCCCTGACTGCCAATAAGGGTCTGATGATGAAGTAGTACCATAGTTGAGGGAAATCCTCAGCGGTTACCAGTAGCTACCTTGTGTTTGGGTTTGATTAATTTGTATTGATGAGAACTTTACACCTAGGTGTGTGTGGTTGTCACTAAATGTCCAATGATGTAGAGTACGATAGCTAAGAGAACAATGGTTAACAGTGTATCCTGGTGTTTGAGCTTGAATAATATGTATTGACGAAAACTTTGCACCGATGTGGATTGCACATATTATAAAATATTCTAGTACTAAACTAAAAAGTATAAAATAAAAATAAAACACTGCGTTTAAAAAAAGCGACTTCAAAAACAAACGAAAAGAAAAAAGCAAAAAATAACTGTTATTGGTCATACATAGTTACATATAGCTTACACACCCACTGATAGGTTACAAGTCGGTGCCACTATGACCTCATAGTGTAAGTATAGATCTTTTAATATTATGTGTGTATGATTTCGATTTAAATCTTTAAAACCTCTTAGTGTCAAATGTCAATGTCATTGATCCGTGAATGCTTCACGTAGTCTCACGCTATTCCTGTACTTCTTGGGGTATTGTTGTATTATTTTCTAATCATAATTTGATTTGATTTCAGTCTAATTATTTGTCTCGATAAGACCATGGAATAGTAAAAACTGAGGCAGTGTGATGTAGGCATGACACGCGTGTCATAATTACGATAATGTGTCTTACTTTCTTCAGACGTTCCAAAAACGTAACAGTAATAGAGGTACAATCAATATTAAAAATGGCGGTGTCTCATACCAACAGTAAGTTTTTTTTGTTTTTAAAAAACACGTTGTCTGTGGGACTACGTCTAGGATTTTCTCCTGTCACGTGTGTGTGCGTTTCCAAACATACAAATTCACATAGACCGGCGCCCACAGCGGACCAACAACGTGGAGCTCACGAGTAGTTCCGGCAGCCGGTACACCGACCGTGCAGTCGAAATTATTGGAATTGATTGATTTCATTCTAATAAGTTGTCCGCTACTCAGTTAGTGATGTATCAGTACAGATTTTATAGATGTTCAGGTTTCCTAAAGACGGTCGGTAGCAATAAAGAAAAATGGATAGATGCAACGGGTAGAATTAATTCGATGCCATCCGGATTTATCTAGCAAAATATGCCCGCAACCTTTTAAATTCCATTTTTTAATATCAAATAAATGATATTTATAGTGACTGTGTGTTATGTATATTCTTTAACTTAGTTGATATATCGATAATGAAACGTACAATGTCCTGAACCTAGTCGAAAATTGCAAATACTAAGAACACCGCCATCTATGGCCGGGTAGCAAAATTTACTTGTCCATTAAATCTACTTTGACTAAGATTGTATAACTTATAAATATACTTTGCAGTAATGCAAAATAAATCCTACATAATTGGTTTAAGGTTTATTTCTTGATGTCAACAAATCAAAATATTTACTTATTTGTAGTAATGTATGTATGATTATATCTTCATTTCGTGAAACAGTGGTTCCCGCAGGAATTATGTTGGATAACACATCCCTAGCTTTTACTATTCCATGGACATGCCTTGGATTTTATTAACTCACTACACAAATAAATTTAGCAGCTATCACAGTTTACCACTTATTTTATGATGATTATTTATGCAGAGACAAAAAATTACGTCGAGGTACCTAACCTGTAGCGCGACATGCTGGGCGATGAACTCCTCCTGCATGGCCCTCCACACCACCTGCAGCAGGCCTCCCTCCTCACTCAGGTGCTTCTCCACCGTCCGGTACAGTCGGTGCAGGGACTTGCGGACTGTACACATACATATTATTCATTTTAAATGCTTTTACAATCATGTGTGTTAGTGAGTGATCGGTGCACTGTTCGGGGACCTCCGTGCTACATTCTCGAGCGAGTCGACGCTACAGTGGGATCCGTCGTGTGTCTGTCGAGTAGTGGGGCAGTACAGGACTGAGTGCGGCGGTACTGACCCTCGTGCGCCGGGTACATGGCCAGCACGAGTATAGGACTGAGTGCGGTGGTACTGACCCTCGTGCGCCGGGTACATGGCCAGCGCGAGTATAGGACTGAGTGCGGCGGTACTGACCCTCGTGCGCCGGGTACATGGCCAGCACGCGGCGCAGCTCGTGTTTGCTGAAGGCGGCGCGGTAACACACCTCGTCCTCGCGCACGCCCTGCGCCACCGCCTCCGACACGCCCTGCAACACGCGCCCGTCACACTGGCGCCACCGGCCCGGCCGGCCATGTCGGCCCCGGGCCGGTCGACACTGTCGGCCCCGGGCCGGTCGACACTGTCGGCCCTGGGCCGGCCGACACTGTCGGCCCTGGGCCGACCGATACTGTCGCGCGTCGCACCTCGAAGAACTGCGTGAGCTTCTCGAGCGGGCGGCCGAAGTACTGCGTGACGTAGGCGCGCAGCGCGTCGGAGTAGCGCGCGCGACACTCGCGGCGCAGCGCCTCGAGCGCGGGCAGGCGCAGCGCGGACAGCACGGCGTGCAGGCGGTGGTAGTTCTCCAGGTGCAGCACGGCGCGCGGCGTGCGCGGGTGCGCGGCGCCGGCCACGGCCTGCAGCATGGCGCCGGCCAGCGCCACGTACCAGCGCTCCACGTCGGCGCGCCGCCCGCTGCCCGCGAAGATGCGCTCGCAGGCGCTGCTCAGCGCCTCCAGCTCTTGCAGGAAGCTCAGCAGGCCGCACTTGGGCTTCTTGGCCGCCTGCATATACATGGCCGTATACGATTAACCGAAGTTTAGAAAAAAAATGCTCATGATTACGGCAATAATGAAAACGACCGCATGTATTTATGAAAAATAACGAACTGAAAATGATGCTCAAATTTAAATAAGTATGAAGTATCCAAGACTAAGGGCCGTCAAAGTAGGTAGGTACTTACACCGCAAACAGCTGCGTCACAATCACAACCCACACAGCCGTAAACCGTGTCATTTTTTGGGGGCATTTCACAAAAGTCATAAAGGTTCAATGTAAGAGAAAGTTTCGGGCCAATTCTTAAATATACGGCTATAATAAATCGATTTCAGAATAAGCGACAGCAATATTTCTTATTGAAGTTTTAAGGAGTTAGGAATAATATCAATTACGTGTTTGAGTTTGTGTGTGCTGAACCGCGTTATAAAGCTAAGTACAAGACGGCGGCATGTAGTTCGCACTTACGGATTTCCGTAATTTACAGAAAAATTTAAAATTTTTATCTACAATTTTTTTTTTGATTCGGACTCAAAATTGATAGCAGAGTTACGTCCTAGAAAATAACGCTGCTTTAAAACGACACCTTGTATAATAAGTAAAATAATTGTGTTAATTTTGAGAAATATTTTTGAACATTTTGTTAAATTCACGGAAAGTTTATGTGATTTTTAAGTTTTTTATAATAAATGTTTAATTCAATACATTTTTTATTTTATTTATTAACTTTGTGATGTAGTTATATAAAAAAACTCATTCCAACTTATTGCACTTGGCGCATACATAAAGTAGAGGCAATCCCTTGTGGGGTTAATTTAACGATTTTTTTTTCACTTGTATGCCGAAGGTTAAACAACGCACTAAGTTAACAACGTAGTCAAATCCATACACAATGTTCTTGCCCAACCGCAAATATAAAATTGTTTTCTATGGTATATAATTTTTTTAAGTTTTTATAATAAATTCTATTGAAGGGAGTATGTTTTAATGAAACGTCTGTTCCCGATCGATTACCTTTTATTACTATTCATACAAATGCGATACATTACATTATATAACATAGATCTTACATAGATACTACACCTCACTATATGTGGCTAAAGACCTACCTTGGTGCAAAATTTGTAGTTTCTAAGTCTGCTAGAAGTACCTTAGAATTTTGATTATCGGTAAGCGACTCAGTGACAAAATGGTGTAACTTTGATCAATCGTAACTCCTAAACTATTAATTCAATTGCCATATAATTTCGAACTTAAGCTTTTTCTAATGCCTCCTTTTATTCACCGTAAACCTAAACTCCTAACTTTGTCCACGTCGAAGATATAATATATGGGGGGGCGAAACAGCCGCTAATTGCTTCCAGAAAAGATGGTACGGCCGTGCTCGTTTTCCTAGAGACTTGGCTGGGGCAAGATATGTGTATTTTTAAAGAACAAGTGATAGCTGATTAGGATATTTGTTGTACATACCTGCTTGATGGCGTCGGGCAGCGCCGCCAGTCGGTCCGCCACGCAGCGGTCCGCGCCGCGCTTGGCCGCCACCGCCACGCCCGCCAGCGCTGCGCGCGCCCACCGCGCCTC